TTTGTCCCTTATTTACATTGTTGTAGTCAGTGTATACATTGTTTCTCTCACTCTGCTTTCTTCATTGTATCACTTTCCCAAGCTCCTCTGAGTTCATCGTCACAATTTCTCACAGTAAGATTTGGTTTAATTTTGTATCACAGTTTATTTAGTTGTTGTTTGACGGAGGAGCATTCACTTTGTTTTCATATTTTTGTTATATTTTGTTGTATGTGAGATCTTTCTGTCTTTGATCTCCTTAGGGTATATGGCTAGCAATGGAATTTTTTGGGTTATACAGTGACTTTCTTTGTATAAATTTCAAATAATTCCAAGTTGCTTTCTAGAAGGCTTGGAACCAATTCACAGCCCCACTAACAGTGTTTCTATAGCATTTCCTACATCTGCTATTTCCATTTTTGTCAGTTTTCTGGGTAAGAGAGTAACTCAGTTATTTTGCTGTGTATTTTTTTTAAATTAGGGAATTGTCACAATCTTTCATATTTTGTAATTTTCCCTTGAACTGTTTTCATATCTTTTGACCACTTATCCGTTGAAGAATGGATCTTGTTCTTATATATCTGTTATTTTCCTATATTCCTTGGATATAAGACCTTTTTTCAGGGAGTTGTTCAAAAGTCCCCCACCCACCCACCCTCTTTGGTTCATAGCATCTGTTTTTATGCCTACTGCATTGGTGGACTGTTTTGTTTTTTAAACATTTGTAGAACATGCAGAGGGCAGTTAGGTAGTACAGTGGAAGGAGTATTGGGCTTGGAGTTAGGAAGACCTGAATTCAAATGTGGCCTCAGACACTTACTAGCTGTGTGACTCTGCCTCAGTTTCCTCATCCATGAAATAAACTGAAGAAGGAAACGGCAAACCACTCTTATCGTTGCCAAGAAAACCCCAAATGAGGTCATGAAGAATCAAACACAACTGAAACAACTGAAGAAGAGCATATAAAGAAGTACAAGGCAGGTTTTGAGTCTGATTGGAAGGAATTACATTCTAGTTGGAGGAGAAATGGTTAGCTCATAGCATTATAGAATAATAGAATTTAGTGCTACAGGAAAGGAAAGTTTGAACACCATGTGCAGATATTCTGAAGATCATTCTGACTTCTGCTGGAATGATTACAAATTAAATAGTAGAAAAGCCCGATTGTCATCAGCATCCGCCAGGTGAAGGGTGAAAGCAAGGCCAATCAGCTACCTGGCACACTCCTAAGCTTACTTAGTAGCTTTGTCTCATTAAAACCAACTCTATAAAGGAAAGCATTGTTTTCTACACCTTTTTTTAAAAAAGGCATTTATAAACTAATAACAGCTTTTCTCTCTGACAAGTCATTAAGGGTGGTATCCTCTTTATGACAGCTAGGAAAGAAGAAAGAACTTGCCAATGAAAAATGCATGCTGTTTGATGTTATTAAAAGGTAGAGTGCTTTTCATCATTTCAACCCTATTTTCACCACCATCTTTTAGGGAGCCTTTAAGATTGGATAAATGAGACAGGCTTTGTCTTTGAAATCCCGACCACAAGGTCACTTGATTTTTTCTTTCATTCCTTTTCCAGCTTTGCAGTGGCACTTAGGTCAACTTGGAATTAGAAGTTTATGGAGAAGATAGATTTAGGATGTTCTCTTCAGGCAAGCATGCATTCACGCTTTAATTTTAGAGAAAGTGGCAACTTTAGAGAAGGTTTTGGTGGAAAGAAAAACAAGGAAGGAGTTGAGAATGGAATTGCATTGTTGACATTATCTCATAATCAGAACTGTTATAATTGTTTTTTTCTAGATTCAGGGTAAGGGGCAGGTTTGTACTTCATATAAGATCATAGGCTTAGAGCTATACTGGACCCTAGAGGTCATTGAATTTGACCTCCTCATTTGAACTCAGGGGCTGAAGTGATTTGCCCAGTTACAAATATTAAGTGGTTGACCTAGGATTTGAAGCCAGGTCCTCTATCCAAATCGTATTATCTTTCTCCTGAACCTTGTTGTCTTCCATTGATGACTGATTATAGAAAAAATATGGGTTTGAAGTTGGAAGAAATAAGAAGTCTACTATTGCACAAATTTGTTCCAGTAAAGAAACGGTAACTTAATTATTTAGACAATGCTTTCAAAATATTTCTGCAGCTTTCTGTCTAAAAGCACAAGAGGAGGAAGTCTTCCCATATACCTGACATAGAAAGTAGAACAATTAGGTCATTGTGAAAACAGGGAAGTACTTTCATCATATTTACTGTTTTGGAATCCAACTGCTTTGGAGCCTGAGCATGAATGGGTGTGTGTGTGTGTGTGTGTGTGTGTGTGTGTGTGTGTGTGTAAGTGTAAAGTGTGGAAAGAGCTGAAATTTTAAGTGAGACAAACTGTCATTCCATGATCATAGTACATTTCTTCAAAAAAATCATCCTGGGAGAAAGATAATTAGTTTTTAGTTTATTTTTCTCTAGCATTAAAGGTAGAAATAAATATTTAGCTCTTGGATTTTACCCAACAATGGACATCCTGGCTGGAATTTATCATAATTTTGCTGTGATATGCTGTAATTTTATGTAATATGTAAAATTACATAGCAACATGTACCATAGTGTGTGTGTGTGTGTGTGTGTGTGTGTGTGTGTGTGTATGTACTTATATAAAAATACAGTACATTTTCTGTTTTTTTTTTGGGGGGGGAGGCAATTGGAGTTAAGTGACTTGCCCAGGGTCACATAGCTAATAAAATATCTGAGGTTCATTTTGAATTCAGGTCCTCCTGACTCCAGGGACAGTGCTCTATCTACTGTATCACCTAGCTGCCCCATAAATACAGTTCAGATGAGTAGAGATTGATGGGTTAGAGATGAGATCAGCTAAAAATAACTTACCTTTATGTGATGCTTTGAACATTGAAAAAATGATTTGGTTATCTTGTTTTTAACATCGCTGTCATTTCTACATGTATCTCCCCCTTCCCTTCATCCAACATTCACTGTAACAAAGAATAAAGAGACAGAAGCAGTTTGGCAAAACTGGCCGGCCTGCCAAGCAGGCCTGAAGTCTATATGGTGTTTTGCAACCCTCTCTTCAAAGGAGGGAGGGAGGGAGGTACGTTTTTGTCTAATTATATGGGTGTTTTATATTTCACAAAACACTTTCCTCATAACCTTTCTGTGAGGCAGACAGCACAGATACCATTTAACAGATGAAGGAACTGAGATGTAAAGTGATATGAAATCAGGCTTCAAATACAGCCAGTTCTCCTGATGCCAAGTTCAACCCTCCTTCCATTATTATAATTAACTTTCTAAAGGTACCCATGTTAACAGTAGTAATGCAATATAAACTTAAGGTTAATTTATCTGCCTGCCCCCAGGATAATGTTCTAATGATAAAGCCTTGTATTTATATCATACTTTACAAGGTACCTTTACATCTTCTTTGATCTGTCTGGTAGCCAAGACAATTATTTCCATTTTATGTAGGAGGAAACTGAGGCCCAGAGAAGGGAAATACCTGCCTTGCCCAAGATTTTGACTTGCTCAAGATGGCGAGTGGCAGAGTCAGGATTAGAATCCAGATTGGCCAACTTCCCAGTCCAGTACTATCCCAGAGTTCTTATGTCCAAGTATATTTTTCTGATATGTACTTTTAAGGACTGTTCCTGAATTGAATGGGATATTGTGTACCTATTAAAAAGAAATGGACTGCATCTGTGTGGTCACAGCTGACTTTCCAAAGAATGCTTTTCTTCCCATTATCTTTGAAAGATCCTTTTGTGTGTGTTTAGCTTATCTATACACATGCCCTCTTTTTTCAGCAATGGAAAAAAGCAATTTAAGGCCCTCCCATTTTATACATTTTTGTAGTTGTGCCAGATAGTAGTAATAGCTATCATTTATATAGTGTTTCAAGGTCTGTGAAGAGCTTTACATATGCTCACACACACTTAATCTTATTGGATCAAAGAGAAAGTGTGATTGATATCTGAAATTTATATTTTATATTTAACTGTCAGACACGTCAGATTCAATTCAGCAAACATTTAATAGTAAGCTCCCATATATGGCCCACTGTACTAGATACCCTCTTTTCCACTAGCTACCCTCAAAACACTTACATTCCACTGGGGCCGTCTTTCTACTTCCTGGTAAGGCCCCCTTCAGTTTTGTAGAGGGGGAGCCTGGAAGTGGCAATGGGGAGCAAAGAGCATTTCAACTCCTCCAGCTGTAGGGAATAGGTATGAACAAATGTGCAATCAGATATATCATCAAGAGGGAGTCAGTTATCAGTGAGTGCAAGATGATGGAGGGTGTGGGAAAGAAAAAGCAATTTTGTTACCACCGATAGTATAGCAGGCATTTGAGAAGGTACCGTGGAGGGAAATGGGTAGCTTCAAAGTGGGATGGTCTAGGGGATTGAATGGAAGGATTGATGTAAATAAGGGAGGGTATAGAGAACTGGATTTGAACAATGACATTCAGAAACACTGGGATGGGGTGGGTAGGAAGGGGTAGAAGTATGTTAATCACTGAGGAATGAGTTCAGGTAAGTTATTGAGGAGGCAAACAGAGTTAAGTGACTTTCCCAGGGTCATCTAGCTAGTAAGTGTCTGAGGCCATATTTGAGCTGAGGAAGATAAATCTTCCTGACTCCAGGCCTGGCTCTCTACCTGCCCTTGATTTCATCAGTGTAGAGAGTTTATAGTGAAGAAAGTTCTTTACCAATGTGGATCGGTACGTGCTGTGCCCCTTATCATGGAATGGTAGATCCAGAGTTGGAAGAGACCTCAGAAGCCATGGTATAGAGCTGGAGAGCTGCCTTAGGGAGCTGAGAGCTTATAGGTAGTATAGCTTGGCTTAAATCCTATAGCCAGGATGTTAAAGGTGGGATTTGAATAAAGGTCTTCCTGATGCTGAGACTGGCGCACGGACCGTTGTGCCATATGCTGACATTCATCATTAGTAGTAGTGGTATAAACATCATGTGGACAAAACATCAATGATAATGGTATCCTTTTTTTTTTTTTGACCAGATTTGAACAGTACCATGGGGTGCAAAGTATTCCTCAATTTTGGACACCAGCTGCTGCGGCGAAAAGTTGTGGACTGCAGCCGAGAGCAGAGTCGACTGTCCCGCTGCTTGAATACTTTTGATCTGGTAGCTCTTGGTGTAGGCAGTACCCTCGGAGCAGGTGTCTATGTATTGGCTGGAGCTGTGGCCCGGAAGAATGCTGGCCCTTCCATCGTTATCTCTTTCCTAATTGCTGCATTGGCCTCCGTGTTGGCAGGACTGTGTTATGGAGAGTTTGGTGCTAGAGTTCCAAAGACTGGTTCCGCTTACCTCTACAGCTACGTCACTGTGGGTGAACTCTGGGCTTTCATCACCGGCTGGAACTTAATTCTCTCCTACATCATTGGTAAGTAGTTCGAGTGTTGCCTTCGGTTTTGTGCTTATAAGCTAGAGCCCTATTTCTTCCTCCACTTTACTACAATCCCACCCTTTTTACTCTTGGGTTGGAGCCTACCCTGTCTTTAATTTTGACTATTGGAATCTTAGACTTGGAGAAGAGGTGAACCACCATGTTGTCTTCCACCTTCCCATATGCATAGCAGTCTAGAAAAACCTTGCTGAGTAACTAAGCTCTGCTGATGAGAATTTGATTCTTGTTAAATTGAGTATAAATTGAGCTTTTCTGTTTGCTTTCTAATCCTGTTAAAATTAAAATATGATAGGTAGGGCTGGGTGGGTCTCAGATAGTTTATGAATTCATCTTGTCTTGAGATAGTGCATTTTGTTTGGCGTGCCCCACCATTGTAGGGCAAGGGAGGGCAGGGCTTAGCTACAGGATTCAGCCCCTCCTCTCAGTCTGTGGGTGAGGGGGCTGCTGCTTTAACAAAGACCCAGCTGGTGCAGAGGTCAGTGGGATGAGTCTTTCTACATCATTTCAGCGCCTGCAGTCTCTGTTGATAGCCAAAACACACTTTATTCTTCTAAGTTTAAAATGAAAACAAGTGGCAGAGGATATTTTTAAAAAGTTAAACATTAAAAGTTTCTTGCCATAAATAAATAGATTTAACAGGTGAAAACATGCCAGAGTTTATAAACACGGCTACATGAAATGGACTATTATATTTTCAGAGGGGTTTTTGGGTGGGTAGAGTTAAGAAAAATATTTATTGCAAAGTGCCTGCTCTTTCTTGACCAACATGAAAAACTCTCAGCCTTAGCTACTAAAAATAGCAAAATGTAACACGTTCAGGAAAGGACTTGTGATTTCATTGATATAGATTATTTCCAGGTAAGGAAATTCCATTCACCAATGCAAGTCAGCATCTTCTCCACAGCCTAGTCTCACAGAGCACTGAGAAAGTTAAATGACTTGCCTGGGATCACATAGCCAGAGTGTGTGTGTGTGTGTGTGTGTGTGTGTGTGCGCGTGTGTGTGTGTCTTCCAGGGCCTGAGGCTAGATTTCTACCAGCTAGGCTATTGTTACCTTATAATCCAGTATTATAAAACCTTATTATAATTTGGAAGTTGAAACAATAGACTGAAAACTGGAGTGAGGTCTCTTTGTGTGTATGTGGGGAATATTATTTAGTTGGGTTATGGTTTTGAAAGATATTATTTATAACAAGTTCTTTATGGGTCCAAAGTGTAATGAAATCTATAGTTTTAATAATTTTTGTAACATTAAGCAACTGAGGGATATTTCTCACTTGCATGCTTCTATTAATTCCTATTATGGTTATCATCAGAGCTACTTTGGAAATGGAGACTCTGGGTAAATATTTTAATTTAAAGAATCTTCTTTTGGAAAAACAACAACAAAGAATGTATTGATGGGTATGGGGGAACAAAAGAAAACTTCCACATTTATTTGGCATGATGCTACCTCCATTTATGTGGCTATCATTATTGTGAAATAGTATAAGAAGGATCTCTGGGTAGCTGTCTCCATCAGCATGTTCCAAGCTTACCATTTGAGACCTGAGTTGGGTGAACAGACATGGGTCTCTTATAGGTTCAGCGGGGTGAGCAGCATCTTAGATGGTTGGTGACCTTTTGCTGAAGGAAGGCATGAGTTAATGCTCAGAGTAATGTTCTGGAGTGCTGAGTGTGATGGGCCAGTCTCCCTAGGAAAGGTGGATGACCTTGCCCTCTTCTTTTTTCTGCAGATCAATATTGACATAATGGATACTTCTCACAAATGAGATTTGTGAAGTTGGCATCCTGGATGGGCAGATCCAGGAAATGGAGGCTACTACTAACTATTGCAGGGGCACACAATTGCCTAGACCCATTAGCAGAGTCTCTGTTCTTCCCTGTCAGTGCTCTGTTGGCTGGCCCCTGCCTGCCACGTCAATGGGTGCACTTCATGGCATCAGCTGCGTTTCCTGCACTGTGCTCAGAGACGAATGCTTAAGTGCATTATTTTCTATGAACTTTCCTTGGTGATTATGTCTCATGACAGGTACCTCAAGTGTCGCAAGAGCATGGAGTGCAACGTTTGATGAACTGATAGGCAAACCTATTGGGGATTTCTCCCGAACGCATATGTCCCTGGATACTCCAGGGCTAGCTGAATACCCAGACGTATTTTCTGTAATTATCATTCTGATTCTAACAGGTAAATGACTACATTAAAAAATGATCATCTTGGGTAGCTGTTCATGTAACAAGCACCTCTAGTATTTTCATTATTGGCAGCAAGAAGCAACAATCTTCATTTATTTTGGGCTGGGCTTCTGACTCACTCACTTTTTTTGTTGATTGTAAACATGAACTGGCTTGTTTAGTAGCTGTAGAGCTGATCTGTGCATGTCTTTTTCTGGTCTAAATCCCTAATTTTACTGGTGAGCAGAGGCCTCGAGAGGCTGAGTGACTTGCCTTAGGTCACACAGCTAGCTAAGGGTCAGCGTCCAGATTAGAGCCCATGTCTCCTCTTTACAATCCCTCAAGTTAGAGGAGAATCTTAAGTGTTTGATGAAACTGTCTGTTTGTGGAGTAAGATTTCTTCAGCAAACATTTTTGCTTAGGTGACAGAAATGGGATATGAATTATTTAGCAGAACCCTACCTGGTAAGTGAAGTTGTCAAGCCTCATGATCTTGCCAGTTGATAGAGGTTTCCAGCCAGCAAAATGTGGAGAAACACGGGAGGACTGTGGAACTTGCTCAAGTGCGCCTGTTTATTTAATGGAAATATTTGTTTGTTTTGTACCCAATAACTATCAAAACAGATCTTTAAAAAGAAGAAATGTGCTAAATATTAGTCTTGGTCACAGAATTAAAAAAGTATTTCTGGCATATAAAATCTTCAGACATCTTTAATACCGGTATGGGAGATTTTCCTCTGTGTAGTTTACCTGAGAAAAGGAGAGATTGACAAATTGATTTATGTGATCTAAATGTTAACTCAGAAGGCAAGACAGATCTCATTGAAGGTACACAAAACTTAGATGGGTTTTAGAAATCAGCTACTACTATTTCGCGTGTCAAAGAATTGAAGTTTATACCATGGGGCTGCTTTGAGTGGCTTAGCTAATAGATCAGCCCCAAATCTCAGAAAGTTGGAGCTTGGGAGATTTTCATTTTTAACCTTGTAAACTTAAGAGGGAAGCAACTTTGAAGAGGATGTTGTGTAGGAGAATAGAGTTGTTTTCTTCAACCCACCTCTTAGGGTTGTTGTGAGGATAAACATGAGATATTTGTATACTTAGCATAATGCCTGGCATATAGTAAGGATCTATATACATACTAGCTATAATAATGGTAATAATAATAATAAAAATAGTTATATTATGCCTAATGTTTTTCTTCCCCTCCATGGGGTATGTTCCATGTCCTACTTTGCATATTTAAATCAAAGAAGCTATATAGAGGTGGCCAAATTTTGAAAAACTAAAAAACATCAGGAGAAACTTCAAAATTCAGTGGGGTAGGGGGAGGTGCAGGACATCTAGTTACTCTCCTACAGTCTGGCTTACATGGTTATTGTTAGTATACATGTCATTAGAAGACTTAGGTTCTAGTTCCAAGCCCCAGCAACTTATTAGCTGTGTGAGCATAGACCCTTGGCAACTCTAAATCTGTTTCTTCCTCCATAAAAAGGAGGGTAATCATAAGATGCAATGTGAAATAGTGGACAGAGTATTAGATTTAGGGGGCCTGTTTTCAAATCCCAGTCCATTCATTTGCTAGCTGAATGGCCTTGAGCAAGTTGCTTAAACTCTCTCTGGCTTGAGTTCATTTGTAAGGGCTCTAGGTCCCTTGAAGCTCTGAATCTGTGAATTGACTTAGAGACTCGTTGTGACAATCAAGTGAGAAAAGGATAGTTTTGTTTAGTTTTTTTTTTAAAAGTAGGAAACTGTAAAACCAACCTGCAAGCATTTTAAGCGCATACTCCATGCCAGGCACAGTATTAGGGAGGCCCCTGCACAAAGAACAGAACAATGCCTATTCTCAGGGAACTTACAAAGTATTGCTCGTGTGGTGAAAATTTTATCTTTTAAATATCATATTTTATTTGTGCATTTTCCCCCAGCACTTTTAACTTTCGGCGTGAAAGAATCAGCCATGGTTAACAAAGTTTTCACTTGTATCAATGTTCTCGTCCTCGGCTTTGTGATGGTGTCAGGCTTTGTGAAGGGATCCATGAAAAACTGGCAGCTTACCAAAGAAGATATTGTGAATGCTAATGACAGTACGTGTTTGAACAAGTAAGTGGTCAAGTTTTGGGATGTGTGCGCACATGCACAGGCAGCTCGTTTTTCAGATTCAAGTCAAATTTATGCTCATTTTAACGTATTTAACAACACACTGTTTGTGGTATCACACAACATGAAACACATTATTTTTCTAATCTAATTTTAATGAGTCTTAGCAATATTCTTTACCATAATGAAGTAGTCCAAAGGTATTTTTCATAATGTTTAGAATGTATTTTGGGTATATTATTCATTAAAACTGGGTATAACTTTGTAAATTCACACAGTGGTATTTGGAAAGTTAATTCCCCTTTAAATTTTAATATTGTGCAGGCTCACCAAATGACCTCTGCTCCCTTTTAAATCTCCACCATAATTATTTCAATCTTAACTTCAGTTTTTTATTTCAGGCACATTTTTCTATTTGATAGCATGGTAGTACCCTGCTTCATTATAGACGCCCTTCAGTTTGAGTTTAACAATGTAAAGACAGTAGGGATAGACGGTGTGCAGGGACAAAAAGAGAGGGAGGGCTTTCTTGAGACATGAACTGTCATTTTTGTATCCAGCTTTTTCCAGAGCAAATTATATACCTAGTACCTAGGACAGTGGCTTGCATATAATAGATTCTGTGTGTGTGTGTATATGTGTGTGTTCGCTGATGTCTTTTTAAAAAATTGTTTCCCCCCTAATTACATGTTAAAACAATTTTAGCATTCTTTTTTTTTAAATTTATGAGTGCCAAATTCTATCTATCCTTCCGTCTCCTCCCCCCTTCCTCAGTAAGCAATCTGATAGAGGTTATAGAGCACATAATAGATTCTTTTTTTTCTTTTAAAGAAAGTTGTTCATTTTTCATATTCTTTTTAGATTCTTAATTATTTGTTAAATGAATAGGTAAATGTCTGATTATGTGGCTGGGGGCTTATTTATGTGAGTGCCTAATTAAAATTAAAGGAATACCTGTCCTTAGTAAAAACGAGATGCTACTAAGAGTAATGCATAATTAGCATGGTTCACGTTTCAAATAATATCTTTTTGAGATCTACTTCTGCTGTGGAAAAAGGGGCATTCATTCCTTGGTAATATTCATGACTAATATATTGGTAGCCCTTCATTTTCCTACATAGTAATAGAGGATGGAGGCAAGCCAATCAAAAGTATGCTTTGAAGTAATGGAATAAGGTTGAAAAAGTTTGTAGTAAATATTTCCACTTGGTATCTGCAGGGCATAGTGAAATGCAAAACATCTGTTCTGATCACCATTACCATTTCTTTAAAAGAAAAACAAGAATCTATTGTGTGCTCTATAACCTCTATCAGATTGCTTACTGTCTGAGGAAGGGGGGAGGAGACAGAAGCATAGATAGAATTTGGAACTCATAAATTGACTTCTGTACTTGTTAGTAGATTTTTGTTGTTGTTCAGTAGTTTCAGTCATGTCTGACTCTTCATGACCCAATTTGGGGTTTTCTTGGCAAAGCTGCTGGAGTGGTTTTCCATTTCCTTCTCTGCTCATTTTACAGATGAAGAAACTGAGGCAAACAGGGTGAAATGAGTGTCTGAGGTCGGATCTGAACTCAAGTCTTCTCTTCTTGATTCCAATCTTGATGCTCTATCCACTGTGCCACTTAGCTGCTTGTTGGGAGGATACTTGCTCTTTATCTGTTCTCTCTGTCTTTAGGTGCTAAAATTGTAAATGCCTGAAGCTAGCTTGGGATCTATCTGTCTGTTTGCATGGCATCACCTTTATCTTTATCAGTGTTTAGATTGTGAATCATTCTGTCATTCAGCACAGCCTTGTCTACCTCTCACCTGCCCAGGAAAATACATTCCAACTTTTTTCATTAACCATTCCTCCACTCCATGTTCGAGCATTGACCAATTAATTGATCAGTTGGCTAATTGGACAAGGGAAGCATTTTTCAAACCTTGGAATTTCTGTGATATATAAAGGTTCTTATTGCCCTCTGCCTGTATTTCTGCCAGGTGCTCAGATAAAACTACTTTATTAAAGATAGGTCTAGTGTATCGTAGTTTCAGATTTTATCAACACTGTATTATCTATTTTTTCTAGCCATATAGTAGATCCCCACCCCTCAGCTATTCAGTGTAGCCCTGAATTGTATGGCAATCTTGTATTAGCTCAAATCAAATGTATTACAGAAGCTTCAGAGCAGAGTTGGGTGTGGAATGAACTTTGTGTTTTATTGATGTTATTCCAAATGCAGGGCCTTTTTCCCCCTCTCTCAATGACAGAATGCTATTTCTTGCTGTTTGGAATAAGGAATTGCTACGATAACATTACTGTGCATTTATCAGTCTGTCCCACTTTTTTGCAATCTATCCACTTTTCTCCATTTTTTTTTTACATCTATTCATTTCTGAATAGGTCACTTACCTCCTTCAGCTAGCTATCCTTTGTAACAATAAAAGAAAGGCATTCTGACACTCTATACCATGTTCCACACCCTTAGTCCCTCACCTCTGCCAATGATCAGAGAGAGATCCTTTCTTATTTCTTCTTGGTAATCTGTGAACGTTCCACGTCCCACAGGCCTTCCCTATCACCTTCACTTCTTAGAATCCCTGTCTTTTTTCAAGACTGACTTCAAATGCTTTTCTAAGTTTATCTCCCATCTACTCTGTATTATCTTGTATGTGCCATTTATTTTATGTTTTCTCAAATGTGAGCTCTTTGAGGGCAGGGACTATATTTGCCTTTTATTTTTTTTTTATCCACATTGCTTAGCACTTCAACCTGGCACATAGCAAATGTTTAATAAACGCGTGTTGATTGATTGATTGATTGATTGATTGATCCCATGGTCAACTGTCAACTAAAGGGGGAGAGTATGAGATAAGCAAGCCTTGAATTATGTATCAAAGCTGCTCCTGCTTCATTGAATGTGAGAAAGAGAGAAGGTCTAATAGTGCTACCAATTTCAGTGAGATTTGGAAATAGGTCAGTGTCAGCCAGGGGACCAGGCGGGGGACAAGCTTCACCCCTTCGTCTTTCACATGGCTTCTGGTCCTGTTGGATGCAGGCAGCAGGGCAACAGGCCATTCTTAGGAGAGCCTTTAGTGGTTAAAGAAACCAAGTTTTACTTAATATTATTTTTTTCTCTTTCTCCTTTAGAGAACATATTTAGCAGAGTGCCGATGAATAAGCACCACTAAATAGAAGTCGAGTTGATGTTGAATATGAGCTTCTTCAGGGCATGGCCCTTTTTTTTACCCTTTGCCTTCATAGTTCTTTTTTTTTGGGGGGGGAGTGCAGCTTTGTGAGGCAATCGAGGTTAAGTGCCTTGTCTTGGGCAAGTTAGGGTCACACAGCAAGTAAGTGTCAAGTGTCTGAGGCCAGATTTGAACTCAGCTAACTCCAAAGTCAGAGCTGTATCCACTGCGCCATCTAGTTATCCCTCAGCATAGTTCTTAACCTGGAGTCTGTGGTCTTAATTTTTAAAAAAAATTTTTAAAAATCTTTTGATGCCTGTATTTCATTATCATTTCCTTATAACTGGTTTCCTTTTTAATCCCATGTATTTTATTTTTATATTTAAAAATATGATTCTGAGGAGTCCATAGACTTTATTAGACTCCCCAAGGGTTCCGTGATACCCCTTCTCTTAAAGTCAAGGAAAATTCCCATCCAAAAAATAAAACAAGTGCTGAGGACAGCACTTTTTCTTTATTGTGGTTTCTTTTATCTTAAACCAAACTGAGGGGATTAAAAAAGCAAACCAAACAAAACTAAAAACTAAATGCACAGACCACAGGTTATGAACTCTTATAGGCATCTGATCCCATGATGTTGAGACTAGTGATAAGATGGCTTACTTGTTGAGCTGGTCTTAGCACTTTATAATGACAGCCCTTCCTTATGGGGAAATGTGACAGTGAGTTAGATTTCTCCTGCTGTCAGCATGATTTCCTTAAAGACACAGAATTGTTGGGTGGGAGGAGACTGCATAAACATTGGTTTATGTTCACTTCTGGAGGTGGGGGCAGGAGGGAGAAGGGGACCTCTGTTTCCTAGAACCTTAATTGACCCTCAAAGCCCTTTCCTGACTTACATATCAAACACATTCTTGGGTCTCTTTCTTCCTTTCCCCCTTTCTTTTAGTTCTAGTCAACCACCTGACCACCCAGAGTGAGGCCCTAATGAAATTCCTTTTGCTTCAGTTTCCAGGCTTGGTGCTAATTTCCTGTGCCCATCCCTTTCCCACGCTTTGATCTCCCTCAAAACTGCAGTTTATCTAGCAGGCGTTCTCAACCTTGTTTCTTAAAAAAATATTTTGAGAACTATTTCATATAACTGGTTTCCTTTGTAATCCTATGTATTTTATTTTATGCATTTAAAAACCATTCTGAGAAGTTCTGCCAGACCTACAAAGGGTTTTCTGACACAAAAGCGTAAGGATGGAGCCATCTTGGAACATCTAGCACTACTGTCCTGGAACCTTTCTTCTCTTCTCTCTCATTCAGTGTTCTTAGTGCCCTTGTTCTCTTCTTTCCACTGAAGACAAAAGTCACAGAACCCTTCTTGGTCCCTTACGCCTGGAGAGCATTCAAATCAAACCCATCAAAAGCAATCTTGATTTATTTAACTCAAAATCGCCACCGTCATCCTTGGCTCACTTGGTGGAAGAAGGGAAGGGTGGGATTTGCAGAGCATCCTTGAAGCTCTTGCTGTTCCCTGCCTGACTTGGCAGTTATGGGAACTTTGGAGCACAGAGAGACTTTGTTAACAGATTTTCCTACAGTCTCGTCATTTCTGTATATATACAAGGTTGAAGGTCTCCTATGAGGAGATACATATTTGCAGAAATGCCTCTTGACTTTCTTACTAAGTTCTGCCTTCTTTTTGTCTTTCCATGCTCTCACTCCTGAGCTATTATCCCTGGCAAAATCCTGTGTTTGATTTCTTTTTCACTGTTTAGCCATCTTGTCTTTGTCTTTATCATAGGTTATTTTGTAATGGAATCCAGCACTCCAGGGTGTACATTCCTTAGCCTTTTGTGCACACCAAGGGTGTGTCGAGGCGGTTGTGGCTTGGCCCTTGGGTCTTAGGAAGTGTGTATATGTTGGCTGAGAAACGAGCCACCCCCTGCTGTGTGGTTTTGCTTTCTTATTCTCTGGTTCTGAGTATCCCATGATACTCACCCTCCCTTAGCCCTCAAATTCAGTCTATTGCCAGCTTTGGTCATTATCTCTTGCATCCCATCCCACTGTCTTTCAATCTCTACCACCATTTTACTTCATGCATGGATTACTGCCATCATCCAATTATCCGGTCATCTGTTTATTTTAGTCCTAATCCTAGGCAAGGTAACTTTTAATGAAGTGGTTTCCTCTGCAGCCAACACATAGGCACATCTCAGTTCTCACCCTATCTTTTTTTTTTCCCACCCTATCTTTTATTGAAGTTAAACTGCATATGACCAGTGATTCATAGATATTTGAATTGAACTGTAGAAAAATGCTGAAATTTATAAACTTTGACCCCAAACCCTGATAGCTCAAAGGCTATTTTAAAAAGCTATTCCTTTGTGGATGTGGCTATCCAAAAAGGAATCAAAGGAGTTCAGATACCAGTGGGAAAGCCTCCTAATCCAGAGCCAGCTTTTTAAACCAGTTTATTAGTCCTATGGAAAGGAAGGTTCATGAAATTGTGCGGACATGACTTTAAATATGTTCGTGGTATTGTTACGGTATTGTTACCCTTTGCCTCTGGTTCAATCATTTCAGTTGCGTCTGATTCTTTATGACTCCCTTTGGAGTTTTCTTGGCAAAGATGTGGGAATGGTTTGCCATTTCCTTCTCCAGCTCATTTTGCTGATGAAGAAACTGAGGCAGGGTTAAATGACTTGCTCAGGGTCACGCAGCTAGTGAGTGTCTGAAGCTGGATTTGAACTTGGATCTTTCTGAACGCAGGCCAGGGGCTCTAGCTACTGCATCACCCTATGGTAGTTAACTGTGTCCTTAAAGAGGGCAGGGATGTTTGAGATTACCTTCTGTTTACAGTGTACATAGTTTGCACGTGCCTAATTATTTACATATTGTCTCCCCATTAGAAAATAAACCCCTAGAGAGCCAGAATCAAGTTTTTGCCTTTCTTTTTATCCTCAGCACTTAGTCCAGTGTTTTAATAAATGCTAATTCACTTGGTGACCAACTGAAAAGGTGATGAGATGACTTTGGGGAAGGTGGTCAACAAGGCACTCTATCTGTGTCTACAGAGCCTACGGGATAGAAGCAGATGTAGGTGTTTATTTGAACCATTGTGAAGCAAAGTTAAAAATAATCTTCCCTTCCTCCCCACCTCAAAGCAAAATTAGTCTACTTCTGGATAACAAAGCTGCAAAACACATCGGGTGACCTCAGGGTAGAGTGGAAGCCCCAAGGCTTCTACAAAGACCAGCTCAGGGCCAGCTTGGAACAAAAGCAGGTGAAGAGTTATCGGCTTTTGACTGTGTCTCAGGCAAACCAGAGAGGTCAGATAAAAACAGGAGGGGATTATAGAATACCATTTCTTGCAAGCTGTACTCTTCCCCCAGACAAGACAATAGAAGAAAAGAAAATGAATTCTGAAATGGACCCTCATTCTCAATCCAGAAGTTATTCCAGTCAAAATATGTACAGCTAGACTTAAGATTCACTTGGCTTATTACTTAGACAGAAAACACTTTGTGACACTCCTGAAAGGAGATGTGGGGGATCTGGCTGCAGTTAGGAGGACTGGTCCACCCCTAGAAGCCAGCATATGCCGCCAGCTCCAGAGCATGAGATGCAAGCTTCTCTCACCAAGGATAATTGGGAAACAGCTGTGGAGATGAAGTGTATGCTTTTGTCTGTGAGTGTTGGTGCCCTCCCTCTCTCCTGTTTTTGTGATCTTGTCACAGAGCCCCCGCTTTCTCTCTGAAGTGAAAGGCAGCATGGCGTAGCATCCTGGATGTGGCATCAGGAAGACTTGGGTTTAGGCCTCACCTGACTCTTAAAGCCCTTTAGAAATGTTACATATTGTAGTTCAAGTATGCGGAAACCCCTAAATCTGGCAGGGAGCTCGATAACTATTCTGTAATAGTTGAAACATGTAGATTGAAACTCAAGCAACATTTGTCTTTTTTTTCCCTCTAGTGGCAGTTCCATTGGTACTGGTGGTTTTATGCCCTTTGGATTCGGGGGTGTCCTATCGGGGGCAGCCACCTGCTTTTATGCTTTTGTAGGATTTGACTGCATCGCAACCACAGGTAAGTGGATGGGCTTGGACATTGTGACCATGGGATGGTTTGGGGACTGGTGGTTACTATGACCTTCTGGCTTGTCTTTCCTCAGCTAATTTTATACATGAATCATAATTCGTCTCTCATCTAATATGCTTAAGACCATTCCTATGCACCTCAATACATTTTAGGGTTGCAGTTTGCTGTTTGTTTTTTTCCTCGATTCCTAGTCTAAATGGCAAAAGGAAATCTCTTATCATTAGCAGAACCAATGATATTGAAAGTCAGTAATACAGTCTGATTCTGACTCCTGGGACCTATGAGTATCACGCACTTAGATATGATTCAGTGGAAGTATAACTAATTACTAATAAGCTTTAGCAGAGGAAAGCTCTAACACTCTTCCTTTCCTGTCCTGAATTGCTGCCCATTCACTGCAAATGTGGAAGCTACATCATGCTATTCAGGACTTTGCATTTCTTCTCACCATTTGTCTTTGGGTTCCCAAAATCCCAGGGGGAAGAATCTTATTACTGGTACTAAAGGTCTTAACATTTTCATTCTCAAATAACAAGACTTATGCTCATTAAATAGAAATTGAGTCATTAATAAATTTCAAACAACATGAAAGGTCAACTAATGAGTATTCAACAGCCTGGACGGGACTGCTCCCAAATCAACAAACATTGAGTACCTACCCTCATAAAAGGCACTATGGTGTCATAAAAGGTAGGTGTTTGAAATTCGAAGAAATGTGGGAACCAATTCCTACCCTTAACAGTCTAATTGGAGGTCATATAACTGCCAGGTCAGCATTATAGACAGGAAGTACTATAGTTAGTTCAAAAGGGAGATGGGCATGATCAGAAAGACTTCATGAAAACCATGGAGTTGGGCCTTTGTGGAGGAAAGAAAGGAAATAAGCTTTGACTAAGCACCTACTGTGTGCCAGGTACTGTCCTTTACAAATAGTATCTGATTTGATCCTCACAACAACCAGGATGTAGGCACTATTATTATTATACCCATTTTGCAGTTATGGAACCTGAGACAGACAGATGTTAAATGATGGGCCCAGAGTCTCACACCTAGAAAGTTTCTGAGGTCCAATTTGAACTCGGTTCTTCCTGACTTCCTTACTTCCACCACTCTATCCACTGTGCCACCTAATTGCCTCTGGTAGGATTCATGAAAGGTAGGAGGACTAGGGAGAGGTGGTAGTATTAATACCTGCCTTGAATGGAAGGTTCAACTGAAGTTTGGCTTTTATCTTTTTGATAATGGAGAACAGTTCTTGAGCATGGGGTTACATGTACAAAAAAAGTGTTTTAGGAAGACTAAAGTTGGAGGACCTAGAATGCAGTCACTCACTGGCCACTTACTTAATTTTCTTTCCTGAGCTTGTTTACTCAGGGTTGAGAATGGCCAGACTACCCTGGATGTATCTGATCTCAGAAGCAAAGCAGAACTGGGTCTAGTTAGTTCTTGAATGGGAGACTTCCTGGGAGGGAGTATTTACTCAGAGCTTGGTCTTAACTGAAGTGTGATTTGTTTTCTTACGTTGTAGTGAATTAAAAATATTAAAGTACATTTCAATGTTGTATAGAAGTTATAAAATACATTTGTATGAGACTTAGTCTACAGAGTTGCCTACTTATTCATTATATTGAGTCGTTTAATGAAATGGACTCCTTGTATTAACTGAAACTCCTGTGGGTCCAAAACTCCCAGGTTGGGAACCATGGTTATAGCTAGGTATAATATAAATATAATGTAAATATAGATAGGCATAATATAAATCTGGTCTCCTATTAGCTTAGCAAAGTGCCTGGCACATAGTACATGTTTAATAAATGTTTATTGATTGATTAATTAAAAAAGATTGAGCTTGGAGGCAGGGGTACTAGTTAGATATGAGGTGATGGGACTTTAAACTAAGGTTCAGGAAATGAAAAAGAAGAGACACATTATTAATAATTGATATTGTTAATATTGATCTATAATACCGTAAGATAGAATTGTTAATAATTCATAGTAGTGGAGAGTTGACAAGCCCTGTTGATTGGATTTGAGAGAGGAATGACTCCATGATTAAGTATAGGATTCATGTTCCCACCAATAAGGAGACTCTCAGGGTTAGGAATTTATTGAAGGGAAAAATGAGGTTTCATCATGGTGGGTTTGAAGACATCCAGCTGGAGAGTTCCAGCAAGGAGTTGGAAATGTGGGACTAACGCTCATGAAAAAGATCAGGGTTCGAGTTCTTGGATTTGGGAATCAGTGGATAGAACTGCTTGTTGAAGCCATGCAAGCCACTTGGAAAAGACTATATCTCAGAAGAAGCCAAGGATCCTTTAGTGGGAGGGAGAAAAAAGTGCATTCCTATCACAGCACTTAAGGAAATGGAGATGAGGAGGCATGTGTAGTGGTAGGAGTATATGGAGTACATTGCCAAGAAAGAATTGTAAAATAGCAGAGCTATAGAGGTGTTATAAATCATGTAGTCAGCGGATAAAGCTCTACTCCTGGAGTCAGGAGGACTTGAGTTCAAATCTGGCCTCAGACACTTAATAGCTATGTCACCCTGGGTAAGTCACTTCACTCTGATTGCCTTAGTTTTCCTCATCTGTAAAATCAGCTGGAAAAGGAAATGACAAACACCACTCCAGTATTTCTACCAAGAAAACCCCAAATGGGTAGGGAAGAGTCGGAGATGACTGAAACAACTCAGTGATAAATAATCATTTTTATAGATACTGAACCTGAGACCTTGAGAGATGGAGTGGCTTTCCCAGGTCACGTGGATCTAGCAGCAGAATTTAGACAAGAACTCATGTCCCCTGGCTACTGTTTGTGCTCCTTAGATCCTCCCTCCCTCTTCAAGAAGGGGTTGGATGAATGCTAAGTTACTTAGAGGTCAGGGAAGGATAAATGCTGAGAAGTCCTTTGCATTTGGCAAATGGGGACGCACTGATAGCCTTGGAAAGAGCAGTTTCAAATAACAAAGCCGGAAACCAGTTTCCAGGGTGTAAGAAGGTAATGACTTTAGTGGAGGAGGAGAAGAGGAAGGATGGTTTCATACTTGTCTGTTTTATAGGTAAGGAAGGCTTAGTAGAGATTCTTGTGTATCTATAATTCCACATTATTTAAGGCTATAAATTGCCGAACAATTGTAAATCTATGTTGGTGAAGGGAGTGTCCTTACTGAGAGTTTCACATTCCAGTGAAATCACAGGAAGAGTCATAAGGGCTTAGTCTGTTAGTATCCATAAATACTTTGGGAGTCTCTTTGCCTGAATTTGTGAATGCATTTGGACAGACTAGGATGTGACCACATAGGGAGTAGAGAGAGCGCTGAGCCTGGACTTAGGAAACAGGAGTTTCAGTCTTGGCACTGACTCTAGCTTGGGCAGTTGTACAGTAGAAACAACAATGGATTCAGACGTAATGGATTTGGATTCTGGTCTTTTAATCTGTGTGAATTTGGCAAAGTCACCTTTCTTGGCCTAAGGGGTTGGATGAGATGATCAGTAAGGTTCCTTCTAGCTCTGAATCTATGGTGATATTATCACTAATCCTTTCTGAGCCTCATTTTACCCATCTTAAAATTTGGCTAATACCAATAAAATTTGGATAATGTCTTCTTCATCGGGTTATGAGGAATATACTTTCTGAAATTTTAAAAGTAGTCTACAAATGTGTGAGTTATTATTTGGTCCATTTTTTATTTGCATTTGAAGGTCTAGGTGTTAGAAGTTTGCTATTTTGGGCTGTGATATCCTTTCTTTGTGGCATATTTCTTTCTCTTCTTTTTTTAATAGGTGAAGAAGTAAAGAATCCTCAGAAAGCTATCCCTGTGGGAATTGTCGCATCCCTCTTGATCTGCTTTGTAGCTTACTTTGGGGTATCAGCTGCTCTTACTCTCATGATGCCTTACTTCTGCCTGGATGTTAATAGCCCATTGCCTGATGCATTTAAGCATGTGGGCTGGGAAGGGGCAAAGTATGCTGTGGCTGTTGGCTCTCTCTGTGCTCTTTCTACCAGGTGAGTTTTGATTTAGTTAAAAATGTTTTTAAAAAACAAATAAAGAATTGCCCTTACATGAAAATGGCATCTAGATCAAATGCTAGTCTATGTCAGATTATTCCAGTTATTCAACAATGAGTGATATGTATTTATTTTTTGTTTGACTCTGTTCTTGAAGGTTGTATCGACAGAATGCAAATCTTAGTTAGATGTTATGAAACTAGAAAGACTTTGAATATGAGGCTGGTCTTTTAGTTAAGGGACAGCCTAGCTAAGTTTGGAGACATTCATTAGCAGGTTAGCTATCTGGTGATAAATATCTTGGCCATAATAAATCCTTTTTTTTCCTTAATGGTATTTTATTTTTTCCCCCAATTACATGTAAAGACAGCTTTCAACATTCATTTTTGTAAAATTTTGAGTTACAGATTTTTCTCCCTCTCCTCCCCCCTCCCCAAGATAGCAAGCAGTCTGGTATAGGTTATACATATACAATCATGCATAACAGCTATTAAAGACCATTTGGAGAAATGTCACAATGTGCCCCAGAAGGAGTACTCATAGTGGTGAAATAATGGAAGTGAAATATTAGAGTATTGTTAATTTTCTGTTTGACCCGTACTTAAAAGACGGTCTCATGACTGAGAGTTGGGGGGTTAAGAGATGGGGGGAGGGAAATGGATCAATTATGTGTCTTTGTTTCCAGTGCTATTGCTTTATTCTTGATGAGCTCACTATAATTATAGCCTGATGAATTTTGCCTTTTTCCCCCCTAATATCTAGTCTTTTAGGTTCCATGTTTCCCATGCCTCGAGTCATTTATGCAATGGCTGAAGATGGACTACTGTTTAAATTTTTAGCCAAAATCAGTGAAAGGACCAAAACTCCAATTATAGCAACATTAACTTCTGGTGCCATTGCTGGTAAGAATTAGGAAAAGATCTGTAAGAGAGTAAAAGTCAGTGGTGTGGTTATTTCCGAAAGAAACGACTTGTACCTCATGGGCAGGCAGAAATGTTCTTACAGTTGAAACTGAGTACACAGAAATGAGTCTTTCTTTGGTGAGATTCATCAGACAATTGTGACTTATTTTTCAATATTCAGTCAGGAGAACCCAAAACACATTTTCTTCTTCTGAAACCTTTCACCCCTCCTCTTAGTCAGTTGATTCCATGTTGATCTTTTGGCCAGGTGATTTCCTCTTTAACTGTATAAACCAGACATTTGGTTTATGTGTATTATAGACCATGAACTCACTGAAGAAAAGGATATTTCCCCTTTGGAACTGTTGTTGTGTTATAGGTGCCAAGTGTATCCCTGGGGATGTGGACAGTAAGAGGTCATCTCAGTTTAGGAAGTATTACTTTTGAAGTTATCTTGGCTCAGAACTTGTAAGGAATTTCAGACCCCATCAAGAAGAATATGTCTAAGTCAAAACAGGAAGGAAACTTGACAGATACAAGGTGATAGGAAATCTGGAGTTCTCATGCCAGATTTCTGCAAAATTTGAAAGTGATAATGTCTGCAGTCATAGTGATAAGTTGAGTTCTCATTAATGAGCAAAAATCCTCAAATGAATGAGTTATTCTCTAAATATTGTTAGTATGGGCATGTCTGTTATAGGATTTAAGGTGTTTAATATAAGAAAACCAGTCTATCATGCAATTAATACCTTGATCTCATTCTTTTTAACTCCTTTGTAAGTGGGCAGGACTAGGTCTTCAGGAATAGATTACAAATATGAACAAGGTAGATAGAAATGTTAAAGGACCTACCAGTTAACTTAAAGAATTGCCTGATGAGTAGAAATGGAGGAAGAGACATTGCTATTTTGCTTACTTTGGAGAGTACTTAATTTGATCATATGTACTGTTTATTGGATCAGGCTTAATTTCCTTCTTGTGGAGAGGGAAATAAGGGAAAAGCTTTATGGGGAAGTAGTAAAACATGCCATTCACCAAAACAATTTTCTGTCATTCTGTTTTGTTTGTTTTCTGGTCAGCATTTGTTGATTTCATAGTTCTTAGAGTAGGAGTTTAGGTATTTGTGGTATGTTTAACTTGGTGATAGTTTTAACAGCACAGAAGGCCATTTGTAATTCTTTTGTTACTACTAGTACTAAGTCTCAGGGAGTCAGTCACTAACCCTAATTTCTAGCTCTGTCTCTGTCATTTAAATAGCTGTGTGACTTTAGACAAGTCGCTTTAATCTCACTTTTAAAGTGGGCATTATAGTTAAAAATTTAGAGCAACCACAAAGTGAAAGTTTAAAAAAAAACCGCTAAACTGTCCCTTTTCAACACATTTTGATCACTTGGCCAAAAATAGTGAGGTAAATTGTAGCTCAGTAAAAGACCCTGGTAATCTCCCAGTTTAATATATTCATTTTACAGATAAGGAAACTGAGGCCCAGTGAGATAATAAATGCTGAGATATTTATATTTTAATTGCATATACATATATTGGAGTAGTATGTGTTTTTTTTTTAAAAACTAGGCATTGTTACAAATGTATAGCAACCATAAAATGAAGTAAAAAAAACCCAACTAGATCAGGGGTGGGGAACCTGTGGCCTAGAGGCCAATGGTTCCCCACTCCTCAACTAGACCATCCCTTTTCAACAAATCTTCTTGATCAATTGGCCAAAAGTAGTGAGGCATACTACTTAAAATATATCCATGTATAATTAAAATATAAATAAATACATACAAAATATTTCAAATAACTGCATACCCATTCTTTCAAAAATTTATAAAATCAATAGGCTTTATCACGAATTTGGCTTTTCATTTGGACAACTATATTCTCAATATTCTGCCAGTGTTGTTGTATGTTTAGGAGACATAAAACACAAGTCCCCAGAGAACTGGAAATGTATGTTACATGGAGAAATGGTGGGTATGACCAGGCTACAACATATGAGCAGTTAGGGACTTCAGGAGATGTTAGAGGGGTGACCACCCAAGAGCTCCATTAGTATCCTCAGGACGTCGGGGAAAATTGGGGTTGGGCTGTAGCCCCTGTAGGGAGCATAGAACACAGTGAGCATTAAAGGACATAGAATTGCACAAGATGGAAGGCGTGGGTGGGTTTTGATGTATATTACCAGAAGTATCCAGATTGAGATGATGGATCTACTTGAGTATTCTCATGATACCAGTCTTCCTCTCTAAGAACTTCTTCTAAGAATATACATAGAATTTAATTAATTTAATTTAATTTAATTTTAGTCTGAATGTTTCTAGAGAACCTGTATACTTATCCTCTGGTAGATCTGTGATCCTTTCAATGATCTGTATCCACAATTGGCAACTCTTGTCCTTTTTTTAACCACAAGAGGGAGGCTCCACTCAACATACTGAGGGACCTTCCTTAGTTTCCCCTGGTATCTTAAGGAAATCTGCCTTAGTGGAGAACATAGACTGTTCATCAAATATCTTTTGCAGTTGAACTGGAAGAAAGGATGCTATTGAAGAAACTGATGATGGTGCTATATAACATTAGGCTTTTCTTGGGTAAAAATCACGCCCCAGTGATTATCCTGCACTATGGTTTGTTTGCTTTTTAGTTTGGCAATTTGTAATACGACTTCTGGTCTTTCTGGTCATTACTTATTGTTCTGAGAGCAGCCCACAGAGAGACAAAACATGTTCTGTCCCATGGTCTTTGAATAGGAAATTAGGTCTTTGTGGCATGTGTAGCTGGGTGGTAGTTTAACAGTCTGTATCTCTGACTTCATCAAATGCTGGTTTCTAATTCCCTTCCAGCTGTGATGGCCTTTCTCTTTGACCTGAAAGACCTGGTTGACCTGATGTCCATTGGAACTCTTCTAGCATATTCTTTGGTGGCAGCCTGCGTGTTGGTCTTACGGTATGAATTTTCTCTTTTTTCTTTATGCACTAATCACTAGCTGTCTATCATGGGAACAAATGAAGACAGCCTGATTCCCAATCTGTGTAGGAAGGGTAGGCTTTCCTATAACTGGAAATTAGACAGTGACAAAAACCCATGACAAAGGTAAATAATAATCCCAGTCATGTGGCAAAAATGATGCCTAGTTGGCTGTGTGCTCCATTGGTATCCTCTTGATGTCAAGAAAAAAATGAAGAAGGCCCTCAGAACTTGGGGTGACATACATACTATGGCAAGCTTAGCAGGCATGGACAGAAGTTTCACAGAATGGGCAAACCTGCATGACTTGTGATCTGCATCACTGGGGTCATGTCCACATCAATGAAGTCACAGATACATTTGAGCATTGTATAATACATCTCTTAGAACTATGGTGTTATATTGCCCACTTTGTTTCAAAAGGAAGGCTTTGGCAGAAAATATTCCATTACCGGAGTGAGCTGGGAGAGAGTATGGACAGAAGTGGGCAGGAGACAGGACTTCTAAATTAGCAGAAGTCCTGCAGCAAGGATTTTCTTACGGCCTAGCCAGTGTATATGTGTAATATCTATATATAAATGTGTATACGCATAATTAGTTTTTATTGATATCTTTTATGTTTTACATGATAACTTCCCCCATCATTTCTTCCTAACCTCCTCCCAGAGAGCTATCTCATATAACAAATAGTATTTTTTAAACACAAAAAGAGGAAAAAATCAACACAATTTATCAATGCACTGAAGAAGTCTGAAAATGTGCAATGTCTAACACCTGTAGATATTTCACCTCCATAAAGGGGTGTCTTCTCATATCTCTTCATTCAAATCATGCTTGATCTTTTACAATTTTACTACATTTTGGTGTTTTTGGTGTGGCTGTTCTCTCCATTTACATTGTTGTCATTATTGTATATGTCATTTTCTTGGTTCTGCTTATTTCAGTTTGCATCAGTTGCATAGATCTTTGCATGCTTCTCCCATTTTCATCTCATACATCATAGTAATATTCCTTTACATCCATGTACCACACTTTGTTTTGCAATTCCCCAATCAATGGGCATCTACTTTGTTTCTGATTCTTTGCTTTCACAAAAAAGTGCTGCTATAAATAATTTGGTATTTTGAGGGACTTTCTTATCTGTAGTTTCCTTGGGCTAATGGAACCAGTAATGGAGTTTCTGGTTCAAAGGACATCTTAGTCACTATGTATAATTCCAAATTGCTTTCCAAAATGATTGTACCATTTCACAGCTCCAACAATGCCTTACTTAGTGTGCCTATCATCACACAACACTGATTATTGCTATTTTATATCATTTTTGCCACTTTGCAGGGTGTGAGGTGAAACCTTTGGGGTTGTTTTGATTTACATTTCTCTTATTAATAATTTGGAGCATTTTTTCATGTGGTTGTACATAGTTGGCAATTCTTTTGACCTGTTTGCTCATATTCTTTGGCTTTTAATGATGATAATGGTAAGAGCTAACATTTATTAAGTGCCTACTATGTGGCAGGTGCTTTACAGTTATTATCTTCATTTGATCCTCACAACAACCCCTGGAGGTAGGTGCTATTATTATCTCCATTTTATAGTTGAGGAAATTGAGGCAAACAGAGTTTAAGTCATTTGCCTAGGATCACACAGCTAATAAGTGTCTGAGGCTGGATTTGAACTCAGGTCTTCCTGACGTCAGGCCCAAATGCTCTATTTGTATTCCACCTTGCTGCTCCATTAGTCTTAATATACTTATTAATTGTTTATATATCTTAGATACCAAACCCTTAGAGAAATTTGATTAAAAAAAAAGATCCTCCCCTCATTCAATCACTTCTCTTATTCTAGGAGCATTAATTTTGTCTATACCATATAGAAACTTTTCAGTTTCATGTCATCAAATGTGTATGTATTTTTGTAATTTGTATTTGTATTTTGTAATTTAGTAATTGACTGTTCCTGTTTTTGGTTAAAAATGCATCTCCTACCCATGGCTGTAAATGATCAATTGCTCTTCAAATTTTTATAGTATGCTAATTTTTACATGGTATTTTTATAGTATAATATAGAGGATACAATATTTTCCATATTAAAGTGGAATATAGTGTAAGGTGTTGGTCTAAGCCTAATTTCTATCAGACTGATTTCAAGTATATGCAGCTTTGAGAATTGCAGATTGTTTTATAAATATTATCTCATTTTCTTCTCACAACAACCCTGGGATGTTGGTGCTATTATTCCCCCCCATTTTATAGATTGGGAAACTGAGGTTGAGAGAGGCAAGTGACTTACCCAGAGTCACAGTAAGTTTTGAAGCCAGATTTGAACTCAAGTTTTCCTGACTCTCTCCAGTGCACCGGTGCACCATCTCACAGCTTGGTCTTAGCAGCTAGGAGAGTAAAGTAATTTTTGTGGCATTTTGGGAGTTAAAGAGTTGAAACTAATTTTCCCCCTTTGACCTAATTATAGAAAGAAGGTCATGGTAGTAACAGTGTTATTCTTTTGTAGGTACCAACCAGAGCAGCCCAACTTAGTATACCAGATGGCCAGAACAACAGAAGAACTAGATCTTGTGGATCAGAATGAAGTAGTGAGCACCAGTGATTCTCAAACAGGATTTTTGCCCGAAGTGGAGAAATGTTCTCTAAAAGCCATATTATGCCCAAAGAACACAGAACCTTCTAAACTCTCCGGGTTTATTGTGAATGTCTCAACCAGCCTCATAGGTAATGTCTTTACGTAGGGCACCAACATTGTTAAATAATAGCAGATAATGATAACTCGCTTCTGTAGGTTTTTAGAGAGTCTTTCCTGTGAAGTGGATAGCATGAGGTTTGCCAGGAAATCGAGGCTCAGAGAGTGGAAGTAGCATGCCTGTTGGTGTTCACATAACTACTGAGTGTCAGACCAAGAACTTGAACCTAAATTTTTGGACCCTTGAGTTCTGTGCTTTTCCCCCCACTGTACCACATTGTGTCTCAGTAAGCTTTTGCAAGCACTTTTGGCATTTTTATGGTTTCTGGCAAATCTGAGGGGTGATGAGAAGGCACCTTGCTGCTTGCCTAAGGTGATTATGATTTTGGTGCAGTATTTTAATAGTCATATTAAGAGAACAAAATGGAAAAAAGTATGCCTTGCCCACTGAAAATAACCATTTCTTCTGAGGGGAGATGGAGAATGTCTGATGTTAGTCTTAGAGAGCTGGGCGAATGATTATTTTTAGTTCAATTTATTTAATGCCTTCCATTTTATTCTCTTCAGGTATTCATATTATCATCTTCTGCATCGTCACTGTTCTTGCTAAAAAGGAACTCGAGCAGGGGACCCCATGGGTGATTGTCGTCCTCGTAGGGTCTGTTTTCCTCTGCTTCGTCATCACCGTCCTCATTTGGAGGCAGCCTGAGAGCAAAACCAAACTGTCGTTTAAGGTAAGCACCTGATTCCAGATATTTTCTACAGAAAGATTATTTGGAAGATTGGTGACTGTGGGAACTACCATTTTGACAAGACTACAGTATTATATTGTACCGGCTGCTCTGTGTACTCTCCTAGGAGTATGTTCAATTGTGGTGGCCACTGCTAGCCATTTTTCAGGGTGAATGACACTTGTGAGATTGGGGACTGAGTGTGTACTAACTAGCTTATGTAGACAGCTAAATCTATTGGCCGGCTCTTGACACTAGATCGTCTTTCTGTTTCCCATCCCACCCATCCAGTCATCCGGGCCGTCTTACCATCTGCTTACTTCCACATGTACCCCTTCTCCTTTACCTTTTACATCCCCTTGCCTCCTCCTACAAAATTCACTTTATTGGTCATCTCTCTCCTATATGTGTTGCCTTATTAGAATATAAGTTGTATGAAAGCAAGGACTTTCTCTTTTTTAAAAAAAAAAATATACATATATATGTATATGTATCCCTAGCACTTAACACAGTGTTTGATATATAGCAAGCATGTAATAGAAGGTAATTATACAAAGTAATGCTTTCTCTTTCATTCATTAGTGTATATGAACTTGTTTGGCACCGTGAGCCCTCAGCCTGTTAACAATGTCTCATTAAGAGATAGAAGATAGTTCCTGAGGTCTTTAGGAACAGGGTGGTGGGTATGTGGGGATCCCCTATGAGGAGGCTGGTAGAGATCATTATCATCCATAGGACCACAGACCATCAAAGCTAGAAAAGACCTCAGACCATCTATTCCAATCTATACTTAAAATAAGCATCCCCTCTACAATAGACAGTCCCAGGTGGTCATCTAGCCTTTGCTTGAACACTTCTGTTGAGGGGAACCCACCACCTCACAAGGCAGTGCAGTCCAATATTGGGTAGATTTAATTACTAGAAATCTTTTTCTTGTATTAAGCCTTTCTTTCAGCAAAAGTGGAAATTAGAGTTAATTATGAAGGCTGATGGCCACATTCTCCGCTGTGGTACCCACTCCTGTGGAATTTTGCCCTTGTAGAATAGTGTGGGTGTTTTCCCTTCTCATAGTTCTAGATTTCCCTCTGTAAGGAACAATCCCTTGGGAATTTGGGTGTCTCCAGGCCCTGCAGAGATGTTCAGCCGAGCCAGTCCTTAAACCTACCCTCGTTTCTTTGCAGGTGCCCTTCTTACCCTTACTTCCTATTTTAAGCATTTTTGTGAACGTCTATCTCATGATGCAGCTGGATGGTGGTACCTGGCTCCGGTTTGCTGTGTGGATGTTGATAGGTAGGTGGGAGTCCTGAGACTTCCCTTTATCATGTCAAACATCTTTTATTTCCATGTTTCCTCTTTCTGGAGGGAGCTGAGCCCTCTTGAATATTCTCTGCTTCTTTGTCCCAAGGCCTCTAATGCTACGTTGCTTTTTCTATCTCCTGCTGTTTTCAGTAAGAAACTTGATTTATTAGAGACTTCCCATATTTCATAATAAAATGTTTAAAAAAAGATTCATTCAGCAATTTTCTCTAAAGCAAATGAATTTCTAGTGGGATTTTCTTATGGGATACTTTGCATTTTATAACCCAGGCCGCTTATCTCAGTTGCTAATGAGGCCAAGGTTATTAGCTTGAACTACATACAAGTTGGTGAATTTCACTTAGAAAAGAAACATTTCCACGGGACTGTATCCAGAATCCCAGCCAACTTATTTGATAAATGTAGGTTGTGGCCACAGGTCTAGGAGGGGAGGATGGTGGACCTGAATGGAAGTTGTTGGGAGTGACCATGATGACTTCATGTGAGGTACCATAAAGTGGAGGTTGGTCTACGTTAGATCTGGTTGGAGTGGGGTAACCCCTTCCCCACCCTGTACGGGGGAAGTCACAGCTTAGAGCTATTCAGCCACTTGCTGGCTGTTAGTGGCACTGATATGGACAAGAAGCACCATTATTGTCATGAGATGTTGTCAGTTAGGCGTCACCAACTGCATTGGTCAAAAGAACAGGTAATTTTTAAAACCAAGCTGTTCCTTACCCTTTTCTCTGTTGTGCTTGTGGCACAAGTTATGTTTCTTCATCATCTCTCCCGTAGCCTAGAATATGGATGCTCTTGACTCTGGCTTGATTAAAATCAAGCGAGGGGACATTTGCCCGCTCTCTGTTCCTTTTCATTCTAGCCCAATAGTCACCGATTCTCAAAGTGCAGAGTCAGGAGAGCTATTTAATATTTCATCATAAACTGGTATAGGTGCCAGTTCCCTAAGGGAATAAAGTAGGCTCACTTTGTTGACTCCCATAGGATGGCTTGGTTTGTATAGCTTTACAGTTAGGAGAATCTGAATTCAAGTCCCTCCTGAAACATTGTCTTGGAAAGTCAGTTAACTTTCCAGTGTCCTAGGAGACTTGTCCTAGGAGTTTGAGTTTCGATTTGCAAGGGTAGAAGGCGTTTCTATACTGCAAATTCCCTATATGAAATCATCAAATCCAGACTGCCCCACTCTGTTCCCCACCCCCCAAAGATGTTTAGGTGAAGGTCCCCCCAATCCCATAAGTAAAAGCATTGGTACAGTATCACAAGATTAAACACGTTCTGTACCCTAGCCTTTAACCCAAGAGTTTTATATGAGGGCATTTTTTATCCTTAGTGAGTTGTTGTAAACACATCTGCAGCCCCTCTGAAGTGAAACAGCTGGCTACTAAGTCTGTATAGCCTTAGAGGCTGTAGGGCTCGACATATGGCTAGGTAGAGTGAGGACACTTGTGGAGGGGAACCTGTTGCTGGGTCTGACACAGGCACATTCAGACGGCCGTTCAGTAAAATGGTCCTCAAGGGTGGGGACAATGTTGCCTTTGCCTTTGTATCCCCAGCACCTACCAGTGCTGAGCACATAGGAGGCCCTTAAGAAATGCTCGAGAAATTGAATGGAAGAGTCATTGAGTTCATCACCACACCGTGCATGTCATGCTGTTTAATAAACATGTGTTGATTGGCTAATCTTAGGGGCTCACTACTTAGCGCAATGATGTCTGCAAATACATTGAATCTGATTTGAACCAAAGAAGTCCTTCATTGTGTATGTCAGTGTATGTCCCTAGTTGAACACTGATTTTTCCTTTTCTAGTGTTATTGGTGCCTTTTGTTTTCATATCACATTCCTTTCTAAATATATCCCTCTGCCCTTCTATACACTTAGCCTTCCCTCGTACCAAAGATTAAAAATGAAATAACATTTATTTTTCCAAATATAGTAAGCCAGTCCTGGTTGGCCTTACCATCTGCATAACCCTGAATTCAGTGCTGCATAGAAGTGCCTTTAGTGAACGACCCTGTTACCATGATCACTCACTGTCTGGTTTTAAACAGGGGTAGCACCTGGCTGTGCATTTTGGGTGAGGCTAAGGAGCTTGAACCAGGGACACACAGCTTCCAGGTTCCAGTGTGTTAATGCTGAGTTTTCTTTCCCCTTTCCTCTTCCTCCTCACTGCCCAACAGGTTTCCTAATTTACTTTGGTTATGGTCTGTGGCACAGTGAAGAGGCATCCCTGGCAGCTGGTACAGCGAGAACCCCAGACAACAGTTCGGACCACTGCAAATGATCCACGGAGCCCTGGACTGTGGCAGTGACAGCTACCCCCTTCAGAGAAAAACAGCTTTTGTCTCCATGACTCAGAAACAAGAAAAAAACGCATAAGTGTGCCACCCTTCCCCCTCTCTCCCCTCATGCCCTCCCTCCAATACTAACCACAAGGTGCAATTACTTGAGTTGTGGCCACCCCTAAAAGCTCATTTACCTTAGAGACAAAACTCCAAGGAATCTAGTGGCTCTCCAGTCCCCCTAGACAAAGTTATGGCCTGGACCAGTTAGTTGAATGCTGGCTTTGTTTTCTTCTCTCCCTTCCCCTTTCTTCAAGTCAGAAGAAAGCCTCTCCTCCCCTGCTCCATGGTTAGGGCGACCACCGCCATTGGCAAATTTGAGGTCCTTTCTTTGGCTTCCCCTCATGAGTTAGCTCCTCCCTCCTAGGATTCTATATCTCAATTTGAAAATGCCTCATCTCCATAAGTTTAGTGCCCCATTTTGTAATTGAGAGTGTTGGGCCATAAGCTGTGTACTGCATCCAAGAAGGGTCCTCCCCTTCAAAAATAGGTCAATCCTGCCAGCCAAACTATAGCCATTAATTTAGGACGTGGGAGAGAAAAACTTGGACATGTTTTTCATGACCAGCTTCCCTTTTTCCTCCTCCCTGTTTCTTCCAGAAAGATCTGAACCACCTCATATCCAGTCCTTTTTTACCATTATTCCTCTTTTCCATACCCCTTCATGTTTCTGTTACCGTGGCAGAGGACTGTGAGGACTATGTGAGTTCCCACTGTGAGGACAATGGTGGTATCCTGAATGGTTGAGGTACACATATGTAACTGGCTCTGAGTTCTGCTTGGGATATGTCAAAGTGAAATTACCAAAGTGAAGATTATCATTGGACCTGCTTCTCATTGACTGAGATTGGCATTGAACCTTCCTGTATGAATGCTCTTGGGTGACTTTTGATGATGTCTGCCTGAAGTGGGAGGGTGTAGGGAGCCTTTCTTGACTCTCTTCACTGACCCTGACTCATGTTCCCGACTTCTGCTGAGCTCTTTGATGGACGTCTCTAGGTGATTGGGACATCAGATTGAATCTGAGTGCCAACTTCAAATTAACACAGCTCGCCATTTTGGGGTGGTGGTGATACATGGCTATTCACCTGAATTTCTTTTAAATATTTTGTTGTAAGTCCCAGTTGGCTCTACTGATTTTTAAGTGTATTAAGACAGACCTTGGCTTAAAGAAATCTGACACCTTCCATTTACAGTATCAGAGGTAAACCCAAGGAGACATCAGTGAGCATGGCCATGCTCACACTAGATTGGCAATTCACTTCGGCAACCACATTTCTATTTACTTGGTCCTTGGGTCTGTAATGAGTTATTAACTGCTGTGGTACCACCACCAAGTTGGGTCTGTCCATAAAGATGAACGTCATCATGGACAGACTCAGTTTGGGAGATAGCCCAAGAGTTGAAAGTTAACATACCATTCTGCATTGTTGGAGTTGGGGGGCAGGGGAAGTCTTATTTATACCCAAGTGACATGGGTTAATAGAAGAGCTAAATTGCCTGGGTGTGTGGATTCAGTTTGTTTCTTCTTACATGTACCAATCTCTTAGGTTGCAAGAGTGTTGGTTCTAAGAGTCAAACTGGCCATTGCAGAACTAGTATTCTTACTTAGAGTGGGAACTTAGGCCTGATTCACATTTAAGGAGGGAGTATACCCACCTACGACAGTGGTTCTTGTCTAGTGCTTCTTCTGCACGATTTGGAGTGGATCACTCCCTTCCTCTATGTCAGGTGGAGGCAGCTCAAGCAGCGCTTCATCACCTTTGAAATGACTTGGATGCCTCAAAGAGGCAAAAAAAAAACCCAAACCCCACAAACCTCAATAATTTTGTGTTAATGGGTTAATGCTATAGCCAGGCAACATGGAAAGTAGTAAAAAAAAAAATCTTTTTTACCCTTAGTTTCAAACTTCTCCATCTGATCAAATCTCTCCTTTTTAAAGATAAGAATGAGACCTATAATTTCATCAATATAGGTAAGTCCCAGATGAGGACACCGCCTCCACCAATGCAAGTCAGTACCTCCTCTGCAACTTAGTGATTTGCCCAGAGTGCCAGGAGAAGTGACTTGCCTAGGATCAGTCCAGCTAGTAAGTGTTAAGTTAACTCGAATCCTCTCTTCCTGGCTTTGAGGTCATACTTAATTCACCATTTTTTTCCTTCCCTTCCCCCATTTCCCTTTAGGAGCCATTTAATAAGGCTAGATGGCCAGAAAGATGCTCAAGGGGCCTTGGATTATGGAGAGTTGGCCCCCATTTATGAGTCATTGATGCATAGAAATATGGAAGCCAACAAACCCCTAGGGTGGTTGGCGTGCCTGGATAATGGATCCACCCTAAATTTCCACAGACAAGTGAAATAAATGGGGAATCCCCCTCCCCTTCCCATTACACTGTTTATATTAAGATAAAATTTGGGAATATTCTTGGCAAATCCTAGATTTTCAAAGGAAAAAAATTAAATTCATGTAGCTATAAAATAATTGTGAGAAATATTAACTTTTTTGTTGGATATTTAGTATCTGCTGTCTCTTTGGAACTGGTCAAAGGTTTCCTTTTCTTATAATGTATAGAGAAAATGGATGCAGTAAGAACAAAAGGTTTAGGATGGAAAATTTTACCTCCATTTCTCTTTTTGGCAGAAATTTTACTGCAGGTCCAGCCCTTTTTGACTGTATTTAGAGTCAACAATCCACTTCTCTCTCATAAATACCCATGTCCCCACATTTCAAAAAGTGAGACAGTATATTTTATTTCTCCCCAAATTTTTTTTGGAGAACAAGTTCTTTGAGGATTACTGTTTTCTTCCCTTACCTGTGCCTTAAAGCCTTAGTCAGAAATATGCAGGGGCTCAGAGAAAAAGAAGGGACCTTAATTCCACCAATTTCCCTTCTCCATTCAGAAGACTTACCATGTATATAGACTGCATTGTCACTGTACATTTGCTAGGAAATATATTGTGTAGCTAGCAGCTTGAGCTTTTTTTCACTGGGCAAAGGAATGAGGAACTGAGAAGTGTTAGCTTGGGCTGGCCAGGATTGGGCCTCCTATTGTCACGCACTTTCTCATCCCCCCAATATTTTCCTTTGGTGAAAAGACCATGAAAACAATAATTTAAAATACCTTGAATCTCTTTCCACGGGAATTTTGCTTAGTCATTCTTTTCCTCCCTAATTTAGACTTGCTGTAGTGGAGAGACCCTCAGGGGAACAATATATGTGCTTTCATCTGTGTATGTAGCCAATAATTGTGCTTCAGTCCCTACTGCATACTTTGGAAAGACCCATTTAGACTAGTAAAAGCTGCTTCCTTCCTTCCCTGATCCCCACCCCAGCCCACCCCTATGCATGTTTTGCTTCACTGAAGACCTGAAATCATTAATTTAAAAAAAAACAACTATATTCCCCTCCCCTTCAGTGACAGAAAAACAGCCTAGGCTGACTACATTTTACAGTCCTGTGGGGTATGTCATGGAGCTTATGTTTGAAGACAGGGAATGTTTCATTCTTTCTTTGTATCCCCAGTGGCTAGTACAGTGCCTGCTGCACAGTTGGTATTTAAAAAATGACAGTTGTCTTGAACTTTCATGAATGATCTTAGCATTCTTACTATTTGATGATGCTTTGAAGCAAAGCAAAGAATAAAAGAATTGGTTTTATTGTTGGGCACAAGTAGACTCATCCTGACAAAGAGGGCCGTACCGTCTTGGGATTTGTTGCCAAAATGACAGATTAGGCCCTAATTAGGCCCTTCTAGGTCCTTGAGTGAGGCCTTTTGATTCCAAGTTTTACAGGACAAATCCTTTTATTAAGGGGATTTGTTCTGTGAAGTTTGGATTCAAAGGGCCACACTTGAGGACCTAGAGGGCCACATGTGACCCTGAGGCCACAGGTTCCACACCCTGGATTAGGGTTATAGGTATTGCTAGATGTGTGCAATAGATTCGCTCTGGAAGATGATCTGTTAACTTGCCCCATGGGAGAGTAAGTCTTCCTCACTTGAACACTTTTTTTTTTTTGCATTGAAGCATCATTATTCACAATCTATAAAAAACTGCCCACCTCTTGTCACCAAAGAACTATCTACTGATAGATATTGTGGAGCCAAGGGTGTGAGGCGCTGTGAAAGACTTTTGTCTTTCTTTTTTTAGGGCAAGTGGGAGGAGTTGTAGTTAGTATTTATGGGCAACAGGACCAATGTGCCCTTCAGTCTCCCTAAGCACCTATGAAGATAAAATGACTTGTGTATAGGTTGTGTATATTACTGATGTATGTAAGTGATGTAGAAAATTGCTACTTAAAGTGGAATATTAAATATATATTATAAATAAAATTGTTCATTTGCTGCGGGAAAAGGGGCATTTAGGTAGAAGGCACTTGATGGGGAGCAGGAATTGTGCATTTTACCTGAGTTGTTGCTGGATTTGTTTTTAATTTTTCCTTGAAATGCTTTATTGATCCAATGGTGCAAGAAACCACCTCTGTATCTCATCACTGCAAACATAATGCCTATTGGACTTTTAAGGCAAAAAAGGTCAACTGAGTTGTCACTATAATTCAAGGATCTTCAAGAGAGAGATGGTTGATTACTTATCTGTGAGTGGCAATCACATCAGGCAAGAAAAGCTAGGAAGCACTTATCATCAAAGTTTTCCTGCTATGCCTTTGGACATCTAAAAGATGCTACCTCCCATGTTTCCCAGGAGCCTGAATCCTCCATCTTTGATTTGCTTTCTGTGGAACTGGTAGTTTCAAAACCAGCCAGTCTGAGAAACCAACATGATAAAAGACCTTGCCTGTTAAAGAGTCCAGACCAAAATTTCCTCAGGGTATTAGCACCTGGCTTAGCCACCAGGAAGCAGAGCAAACATAAGAAGCATTCGGACTCGGTCCAACAGAGAGAGTGTTAAGTTGAGACTTGTTTTTTTCCAGATGAGAAATTAACAATCTGGATTTAAAGTTAAAAAGTTTCCTGCCTAAGTTGTGCCTTTTAGCTTGAAGACTTTAAGGAGCACAAAGGATGATGACAGTGAGGATTGGTTTATTATCAAACCTATAGTAAACATATGAGGTCCCTTCGGTAAAGTTTCCTTTTACTGAGAGGATCTATGAAAGAGTTGTCGAATTTTAATTATATATAATGTATATATTTTTTTTGCTTGTTCAATGTCCTATTTTTCTAACAACTTCTTATAATTGTGATGAGATTTTAAGTCTAATACTAAATGTAAATCAAGTTGGTTTCAGCTGCTCTTTAGTTTGTCTACTTTTGTTTTTTTTAAACTTTCTAAGTGTAGCCATCACTTTTTTTAAACGTGAAAACCAGCCCCTCTTGGGGGGGGGGAGGTGCAGACCTTTCACAGTGACAACACTTTACATAGAATTAATCCTCTTCTTACCTGTTATCCTCCCTTACTTGTAAAATCCAATTCTTGTGGCACAACATTAAATGTGGCTTTCCAATGCTAATAAATGATGGCTGTCATTTCACTTGTGTCTTCTTTCTAGTCAATGTGATCTTAAGAAACTTAATAGCATTTATAAAGCTTGGCCCAAGCTGGACATTATCAGGGAGTTCTCTGTCTATTATACATAGAGGTGACTAGTTTGCCCAGTGGACAGAGCCTTGGACCTAGAGTCAGGAAGACCTGAGGTCAGATTTGGTCTCAGAAACTTACTAGCTTACTAATATGGCCCTGGTCAAGTAACCTAACCTTTCTGCCTTAGTTTCTTCTTCTGTAAAAAATGAGCATCATAATAACAGCACCTGCCTCCCAGGGTCACTGTGAGAATAAAATAAAACAACTTATAAAACTCTAAATAAATACCAATGCTAAATTTGCAGAATTCTAAAGCACTAAATGCTAGCAGTTTTAATTATTTTGGAAGACCCCACCCCACCCCCCAAATTCCCTGGTGTTTCTGAATCATTCACTGAAGCATGCTCCACTTAGGTTTTCCAGTCCCTTGGAGGGAGGTTTGTTTGGCCTTTCCAGCTGTAGCTGCCCAAGGTTGGGTTCTCAGCCAGACACTGTTAATGCTAATTGCTCAATTACCCATCTTTGGAAACAATAAAAATGCCCAGAGTGCCTGACTCTGGAAAAGGTAGTTTGATCGAGGGGATTTCCGGAGGTCTCCCTCTGTAGTTCATGGTGTAAAATTGGCCTGTGTTTGAGCCCAAAGCAGAATGAACCCGATTTCAGCTTTTCCCCTGGGGCTTCAACTCACACTACTTGTGTTGTCTTTCCTCTACTGCTTTGATCTCAAACACACTGTCTCTTGTTTAATCAGATATTTTCACCTAAGTACACAACAAAGACAAAGATAAGAAGCATAAGTCACTCATTCAATGGAAAGAGTGAATTTGGAGCTGGGTTGACTTGGGTTCAAATCCTGTTTCTCCTGATCCTTTCCTGCCCTTAAGTCTTGGCAAGCTGGCTGTAGATCAGCAGGCATTCCAGCATTCTCAGTTAGTTGGATGCCTGAAGTATTGTGGATGGCGTGATTTGGGCCTGCATACCTGACTCTGGGTTACCCTTGTTGTTACTCTCACAGTGCTTTTCCTCTGCAAAAAAAATATCTTTCATAATTACTCACTTTTGCAAAGCTGTGGATGCTGATCTCAATGAAGGTGAGACTGAACATTTGAAATCAGGAGATCCTGAGATTTCAAGTCCCCATTCTGTTACTTACTGGGTGACTATAGGCTGGCTGTGCTACTTCTGATAGGTGAGTTTTTTGCCATCTCTTCCTGGGTCCCAGGCCACTGTGGCACTCCCCCAAGGTCTCCACACCACGCCTTCTGTTCTTTGGCCATCATCCTCATCCTTTTCCACTATGTCCTTAGTGTCCTAGTAACAGATGAGATTGGGCTTTCTTTTGCTGGGGACTCGGGCATCCACACTTTTACTGTACTTGCAAGATCATTTCCCACCTTCTCCCTCCTCCCCCCAAGCATTTCTCTCTCCCGTTAGAAGGTAAGTTCCTTGAAGGCAGGGATTGTCTTGACTGCATACATTTATATCCCCAATGCTTATTACAGTCCCTGGAGTATAGAAACTACTTACTAAATGCTCCATCTCTGAACCTCTGTGTGTCCTTTTTTTTTTTCCAGATTGGATTAATACTGAGTGCTAGATATTTCACAAGGTTCTGATGTGATTTTGACATGAAATGCAGAATACTAAATATATGTCAATTGCAGTCCTTCCAAGCTATTAAGAGAGATTTTTCCTTGCTTTGTAATATTTCCTTTCTATGCCCCTGCCTTTACGTTTATCAGCGTGGTATGTGTGTGGTTGGGGTTTGGGGTGAATTGGAATCCTGTTATTCCCCCCTCCCTTGAGAAGGGAGTAATATTTAGTACAAGAGGCAAATTCAGTCAGTTAGGCTATAATTTAATTTATGAGATGGAAGTTGTAGTGATTTAAGCTAATTACTCCCAAAGGTCTGCTGCCTGGCAGCAGGAAATTGTCATTGTGTTTTCTAAGTCATCCAGCAGTGCTGTAGACAGACAGACACACACACACACACATGCTGTGCGTACTCTCAAGAGACTGAAGAAAGCAGAGAGCAGCAACTCAGCTGTTTACATGCTTCCGTCCCATTGGCATTGGAGCATGTGTTTATTATCAGGAATATATTACACTTATCTGTACATCAGGACTCAACACAAACTCTTCGTGTAATTTGTCAACCACATATTAATCAGACTAACTCAGATGGTGTGGAAAAAAAAAAACCAACCCTTTACATAAGGATGTGCAATGTGTCCACAGGACACAAATGCATTCAGTGCAGAGACATCAAATACCTGATTTTCGTTTTCATTCCCCCACCCACCCCCTCCCTCCCCAAAGTGAAACGGATCATTTCTACACACCTATGACATTTTCAATCATCGGTGAGCTTGGTGTGAAAGGCAGGAACTATTTTTTTTTTACCTAAAACTCAACTATCAAAACAAAAAGGGGTGGGGGACAGGTGTGAGGGGGGAAGGGGAAGGGGAGTTCACTTGTCTGCAGCATCCTGAAGCCCAATGAGGAATTTAATTAGAAAGTTAAAAAGGAGAAAGAATCTCCACCCTATGCCCCTGAACTCAAGGATATATTCCATTGGTTCCTTAACTATTCAAGGAGTCAGTCAGGTCTACATTGGATTCTTTCTGAGGAAGACAGTTGTTGGGGAGTGGGGTGGAAGGGATGGATCAGGGATCTGGAGTTTTGGGAATCTGACCCCAAAGACTGCTTTTGGATGGAGGCCAGAAAACAAGCATATGGTTACAATCCTATGGACAACAGTGCCATCCAGTGGACTAGGTGGGCTGTGACCCTTCCTTTTCCAGGCAGCCTGAATGCCTTATGGTGGGCTTGTGGAATTTATAATTAAACAACAATAAAAACCCAACCATTGGTGGTGGACACAATGAATATTTGAGAAGCCAGCCATATCTGGAGTGTTCAGTCTTTCAGCTGTACCTGTCAGATTCAAAGCTACCTTGAGCTTTGTTGCCCCCAAAGGTTTGACATTTATGGTGACGGCATGAGCTCTGATGGGTCCCTTCATGACCCAGGCCATTTTCAGGCTTGCAGGCTCTGGGCCCGATGACGTTTTGCAGCATTCCGTGAGCACAGTGTGTGTGATCAATGTTGCCTATTAATTTCTGAATGGAATAGTAAGGCCTGGCCAGGCTAAACCTCTATTCAAAAGACCACAGTCACAGGCAAAGGAAGCTTTAGGGTGCCACGTGGACATTTAGAGTGAGTCATTTCATACACCTCATTATTGGCACTTGTCTACACCTAACAGACTCAGGGCTTTGCAAGGAGTGGAGTGGTTGAGCTATTTTTATAAAGGGGGAAGGAAGAAATATCTTTCCATAGGTTCCCATAGGTGTTTGTATTTTCTGTTCCTAAAAGTATTGAGGACATGGGAGAGCTGAGCAATGAGAAGTTAGACAGTCCATCTAGGCTGGTAGCCAAGATACATTTAAATAAAATGAAAAGTGTTAAGCATATGCATAACGGACTTTGTTTTCTGTTAGTGTGGCTGTCCAAGGCTAATGGAATGGAATGCATTTTACAAATCAGGAAAAAAAAAAAGATTGTGGCAGGCTGGGGCTTCACAAATAAATATCAGGAGCCTTCAAAACTGCAGAGTCCTGGGAATTCCTGAGTCCAGTCCTGCAGGAGAGCAAACCCTGGCGTAGTGGGTAAAGTAAAAGTCAGGCTTCATGATGCATGGGGTAAATTGTCTTCTACCGCCAAGGTCCATCCCCTGGTGCTGTTAACCACTTGACCTTTCAGATCTAATGTGTCATGAAGAGGGAAGAAAAAGCTTCAGATCAGGAAAAGTCTATGGTTGGGTTTCAGGTTGTATTTAAAAACTTTCATGGGGTCAGCTCCACATTTCTCATACTCCTTTGGGCAGTAGAGTCTACTTTTTGTTATGGAAGACAAGAGAGGTGTGGACAGTCTGAGGCAGGGATGATTCCCAAAGCATTTAAATTTGTCTTGGGAATGTTTGGGTATGCGTGTTGTCTTGACATGTTTTGAGAACTGCCTTCAATTAAAATAACGGAACAACATTAGAGATGTGATGAAGAAGCAGCTGGGAAGCTGTTCAGTTGTCTCAGCCTAAATTGTTCTTGATTCCTATGTAACGCTCTCCATCCGGAGGCTGACCATCTCCTTTTTTGAACAAATGCACCGTGCCAACTTAAGTAGACATGACCTTTTTTAGCTCTTATTGGAGAGATGAATGAGTAAGGGAGTTCCCAAGAGTCTATGTTCAAGAAGACTCCAAAAAGAAAAAAATTAGCACAGCTGCTGATCAATAAAGCGTCTGGGGGTATTTCTAGAGTAATTAAGGAGACGTCAATCAAATTGAAAGCAAAATTTACCACTGAGGATAATCCATACAAACAAATGTAGTCCTGATTCCGCTTTATAATGCTTGCTAAAAGTACATTCTTTTTATCTGAGCAGATAAGAGGGTCAGATAAGCTTTCAGGAATCTAGAAGAAAGCTACTGACCAATGGGTTCACTTAATAAGTCCTGAAGGGTCACCTGTTTTGCTCTATTATCAAACCTGCCTTAAGAAAATAGATTTTCCCTGAAGGTAATATAAAAATTACCCTCTATAAACTCACGCTCCTGCAAAAACAAAAAAGGAATCCTTCAAAAATAACTAGAAGATTTAGGTGTGGTTTTCCTACACTCCATACAATTTTTGGGATGGCCAAACCGAAGGATCTGGTTGCCATGGAGGGAGCCCTACCTTAGGAGGCAAGTAGAAATATAGATGAGCCTTCTGGGTTCACTAATGATGTTCCCGACAGTGAATCTCAGGAGGAATGAAGATTCCCACTTGCATGTGTTTAAGCTTATTTACCTGGAGGGAAGAACTGATATTTCACTCTTAAAACTGTAGTTGCAGAGTGTAGAGAGTCCTCTAGCTCTCACTAGGCCCTTGTCGGGCCTAGGGTCTTGGTGACCAGTTACCAGGGGCTGTTGTTACTTTGAAAGGGGAGCAGCTGTCAATAAGCTAGCTCCCTGCTTGGCATGTAGACTGGAAACCTTTCTTCTCCAAGGGCAGAATCTACTCTGAATGAATCCAGGGGCATGTGCTAAAGAGGGTGCTTCCAATGAGGTTTGATTTGAAAACAAATGGTGTTAAAAAACATATGACAGCAGAAATTTGTCATGAATCTCCCATTGCTCCTTTTCTATTGATGCACAATTTCTCTCACTCTGATTGACCAGGACACAGCCCATCACTAACCTTCCTGAGCAGCACTCTGCTCTCCAGAGTATCTTGAGTTGCCTACAGAGCCTGGATGGGAATGAAGACCAAGAAATCTTACCCTGCAGACCCAAGGAGATTTTAGGGGCTAATTAGGGGAATAAGTTGGTAGACACAGCAAGAGTTCCCATGCAAAAATAGCTCCTTCCTTGTTTCTAAAATACTATTTCTCAACATTAGTTTTATAACACTAAGTCAGGGGAAGGGTCTCTAATTATCTCAAGGCGTATTATAAGATCCCCACAGGACAGTTTCAATTCACTTTAAGTGCCATGGACTACTTTTAGGAAAGACAGGGATGATCTTGTAAAATCTAACCACAGGATGCCAACAAATCCCACAAAGGCCCTGTGGTAATCACTACCTCTGCACGTGTGTGTATGTGTGTTTGTGTGTGTGTGCGCGTGTGTATGTGTGTGTGTCTGTACACCCACACAAACCCACACAGACACTTCTTGGGACCAACCTTTCCTACACAGCCTCAATGATCAGTTGGAGCCCAGTCTCAGTCTGGTGAAGGGGTCCGAGGTAATCAGAAATGGACCTGGTTGGTGGAGGGGAGTGAGAAGGATGTTCTGTGGAGTATTTCAGAGCTAACAGGTAGATTGTGAGCTGGGCTGCCTTGCACAGGACAACGAACAGAGTTCTGGAGAGATGAGAGGAAGGGAGTGAGAAGAGAGTCTTTCATTTCCAGGGGGGCCTGAGTTCTCTGGGAGCTAGTAGGGGGAGCAGCTGTTGCTTACATGTCTTTCAACACGGGTGAGGGGAAAGGTGAAGCACCATGACTGATGGGGGACAAAGCCAGGGCCACATCTGGCTCACTCAGCTGGCCAAGGTCAGGTCAGTCCAAAGCTCTAGTCAGTCCAGTAAGGGATTTTGTTCTAACATGGCTATCACTCTTTACTGTAACGTTCTAACACATTGCATCATCATGTAACCTAACATAACACTGAAATATGTATTGCCGGGGAAGCTGCATTTAGCAAGTGCAAAGTGGAAATTGCTGTAATAAGGAACTATGCTTGGGGATGTGCGCATACCTGTAAGTTGTACTTGCTAAGTAAATTACATCTAGTCATGTGTTTCAAAACTCTTAGTCAATATGGCATGATCTATTCTAACAGAACGCCCAACGTACTCAATATCACAGCATCATGCAAAGCCACTAAAAGAAAAATAAATGTTTCTTAAGCTTTAACCTAATTTTCATGTCCTGGAGTGGGCAAGAGACGCTTGGAGATCTGCTGGAAACTAGCCGTGCCAGGGTCCAAGTCGCCTCATACATCTACCCGTACCAGACATGTCTGTGAGCAGCATGTCTATGCCTGACTACATGTGCACGGTCTGTGGGGCACCCTGACAATTCTCCCTGCGCCTTTTCTCAGCTTCCTTTTTCTCCGACCCTGTCTGCTGGTGTTCTTGCCTCAAGCCTGCTCAGAGCTTGGCACAGGGAGAAGACTCCAGGGTGGGGTCGGGAACACATAGGGCCCTTGCCACAAACACAAAATAATGGCATCACCATTACCACCACTACCATCATCACATCTTTTAAAACTATTCTTTTTTTTCCTTTTGTAAGCCACGCTCCTACACTGCCACAGTACCACAGAACACCTTTCACATTCTATTCTATCGTCCCAGATATTAGCACTGGGGTAGGCAGGTGGCCTAATCTGGCCCACTTGGGCAAACAATAGAGAACAAGCGGTCAACTCTGGTTGTTGACTTTGTGGTTCCTTCTGGGAGAACTGGCCAGGCCAAGGTGGGGAATGACCATCATCCGCTGCTTTGCGGGCTCATCACGGAATAAGATGAAGCCGTATCTGTGGGTCTCCACGTGATGATCTAGCAAAGCTCAGGGCGTGATGCATCTGGGCTGGCCAGTTCTCAGGAAGTTGCTGACATCACCTTCCCCACCAGCAGTCCAAATGTGGGGTGGTTAGGATAGTGGCCTCTAGTGTGGGGGGCCTAACGTAGCACTATGTAGTCTATCCATTTTCAAGCATCTCTCCAGAGGATTGTGGGAAGCTGGAGCAACTCAAACCAAAAGGCTGGGGCCAGCCTGAACACTTTGCTCTAAGGGAAATGTCGATTCTAGGAGAAGCTTTTTGAGACGGGAACCAAAAATGTCTTGGTCCCTGCTGTGGTCTTTCTCATCTTCACTCTGGAAGGACCACTCTCTGAATGCACGCTAGCTTGCTGATTGCTTCTGAAATGTCATTTAGGAACAAAGCAAAGACTTGTGTTTAGGAGAATACATATGAGTCACTGTCATGAAAAACATCTGAGAAACCGCTGCAACCCCTCAGGGTTTCTTGCTGCTGTTCCTCATCAACTCACAGCAAGGATACTAATAATTAAAATCTGCAAATGGAATAATAGTGATCTCATAATAACAAGTGGAATAAGAAGCTGATTGTTGTGAAGGCAGTTACCATATCACAAATCGCTGGTGTTCATGTTAAATAGGGTTACCACTTGGTGGTTGGCTGAAGGCGCTTCTTCTTCTTCTTCTTTTTTTTTTTTCCTTTTTCTATTTTGGGTAGAAATATTCCTGGGAGGCTAGACAGAAATGCATCTAATTTAGTTATAATTCTTAGGCACAAGTTAGAAAACTGCTGACTATCATTAAAATACATCAGCACTTAGCGTTATAAAAAATGCAATTCAGAACAGCTGCAAGGATATCTGTATACATGTCTAGAGATACACACGTGTTGGTGTGGTACATAACACGAGGGTCTATTCCAAATCGAACTGTTTGTAACTAACCTGAAATATTGCAGTGAAAGTTCACCTTAGAAGGACAATCAGTCATCAGAGCTTTCTGTCTTTTGGCTCTAACTATAGTAATAATAATAAAAAAAAAAGTTTACACGCCAGACTACAAGGATTACACTTTTCAAGGACATTGGAGGGCCAAGACCAAAAACTTCTTAGACTGGAATGAGAAGAGCACGCCTTCTAGGACACGGGAATGCCACTACCAAGCATGCAGACAATAGCAGACCTCAGGTATCACCTACTCATGTTAATACTCTCTTAGGATGAAAACTCTCAGGGGATCCGAGAAGCTGGGGGGCATATGAAGACTGACGCTGTCATCTCGGAGCCGTGCTCATCTTGGCTGGCGACGGAGGCCCCGAGGAAGAGCGGTAAATGGGGGACGTGGGGGAGAGTTTAATTGGACTGGTGGGGTCCCCAGTTTGGAGTTTCCAAAGCAGCTCCTCGTTGGTTCTACTTAACCGCTTCTTCTCCTTTGTTTCTTTTTCCACATACTCCTGAAGGTTAGCATTTTCCTCTGATAACTGTCTGGATAAGATAAACAATAATACATTAAAAAAAATAAGAATACAAACAATAATAATAATAAGCAGTAACACTAACATTTACAGGGGCAGCTAGGTGGTGCAGTGGATAGAGTGCTGGGCCTGGAGTCAGGAAGACTCATCTTGAGTTCAAATCTGGCCTCAGACACTTTCTAGCTGTGTGACCCTGGACAAGTCACTTAAGCCTGTTTGCCTCAGTTTCTTCATCTATAAAATGAGCTGGAGAAGGAAAAGCAAAATACTGTGGTATCTCTGCCAAGAAAACTCCAAGTGGGGTCACAAAAAGTTGTATACAATTGAACAACAACAAAATATCGTCCATCAAAGATCAACTTGAGATCCTCCGTGCTAGTGGAAGGGGGGAGAAGAGGTGAAGCACGGACAAGCCACAGCCACAAATTCTCTAACACTCTTCTTGAAATATTAGCTTTTGTGTCCTCCTCTCCAGCCTCTTCCTAGACCCACTGACAAAGTCGTTTGATGAAGTCTAGAATCACCCCTCACATTGATGCTGTTGCTCCCCATGTCAGCAGAGGTGCTAATCCCTCATCTAATTAGGGACAATAATAATAGCAGCTTCCAGTGGCCCCTCTGATTTAGAAACTGGCTTCCCCAGAGCTCAAGCAGCTTTTTGTGGGTCTTCAGCCAGCATGCTTATTTTATAGAGAGTGTTGCTGGAAGCACCCAAGTGACCACAGGTGAGCCTGTGTGGGCTGACGCCTGAGTAGAGAAGAGGACCACCAGAGCCTTCTTCCTCAAAATAGAAGGAAACGTTTCTCCAACTAGAAAGTGACACTGCACCCAAGAGGGCCTAAGCCGTGTTTCTCCAGGTACAGAAAGAAAACACAAAAGCCACCACCAGACTTGCCCTGGGTGTCTGTCAGGCTCAAATGACAAGTGGGACCCTGCAGTTCTCCAACAGATTCCCAACTCAGGCTCCTTTGCCAGATTTACTTAGGATTGGGGAGGAAACTCTGGTGTGGGGGGGAAGTCCATGATGGAGTTGGCAGAGTAGGGTTCCAGGTTGGGGTGGGAGCCTAGACACAGGCCCAGACTCTCCCAGCTGGCCTGTCAGCACGCAAAGGGCTGAGCAGCATGAACTGGGTCTCTGCTGTCTCTATCCAGGCCAAGGCAAGAACACCGAGTAGGTGGGAAGAGGGTGGAGGCCATTCCAGAAAGGAGGTAGCAAGCACTCTAATTTGAATAGGGGAGGAGCTCGAAGGGTTGTACAACAACATTCCTGTGCACTCCCTCTTACATTCCACCCCTAGACCTCTCCTAAGGAACGGTGCTCCAGGACTGTTTCCATTGCCTTGAGTCAAAAGCCCCATCCTAGTAATCTTGAAACAGTATTAACTCTGGCCTGCATGGAGAACTGCAAATTCGCCCTGTTCCTCTCAGCAGGGCATGCTCCATCCCTCCTCTTCATTCTCAAAGTGCTCTGTGTCCAACTTGAGATTTGGGAAACCAACCTGGCACAATGGAGATTGAAGGATTTAGAATGCAGAGGCCCTGGGTTCCAATCCCAGCACTGCTCCTTACTTTCAGGATGGAAAATGTTCAGATGGGAAAAGGCAAGAACCAGGCTAAGAGTTGGCCTCCTCATGGAGGACTTCTCCCAGCCTGGTCAGGGAGGATTGAGGGGGAAATAGCAGCAGATCCCTAAAGCTAACTGAAAGAGGTGAAGAAGCAAGTTGGTGGACAGCCAGCATTTATTAAACACCTACTGCATGCCAGGCACTGTGCTCTGAGCTGGAGAAACAAAGATAGAAACCTGACCTGCTCCAAACTTTAATGGGCAGGAGATGAGAGATTCTCAAACTTACACACCTCGTGACAACAGTGTTCTGGTCAATTCTTGCTTTGAGGTCTTCATTTTGCTGTTGGAGCACTTGGATTTTTTCTTCTAGGATAATATTCTTTTCAGCCTGTAAAGAATGAAAAGTTGGTGAGTTCACTGCAAGGACACAGCACAGGTCCAGGACCACTTAGTACCCAGAACTTTAGGTCAGAACCCTGAGGCAGTCAGGCCTGGTGGCTCTATCCTAGTTCAGGTAAGCTCCCTGTTTGCCTGTGACAGCCGGGGTGGGGCCATGGTCAGAGTGTGGCAGGATCATTTGGGACAGCAGAGCTCAGTTCGTATTTTCAGTGTTCTGGTCTGGGCCTCACGAGGGCTCAGCAGGGGAAATGCCCTGCATTTCCAAAGGCCAGGCTTGAGCACCACCTCCCCCGGGGTTTACAGCTCCTCCTCCCTTTAGAGGTATACACATGGATTGTTTTCCCAATGTCAGGTGAGCACTGCCACAACCCTGGACAATTCACCATTCTGGGCTAACTGAAGAGGATATAATTTATGACAATGTAGATAGAATTCTGCTCTTTGGCCAACAGGTACCATTGATACCAAGATGCCAAAGCCACTTCAGAAAATTTTCTGAAAACAGCACCATCTCATTGGCATTGAATTATACCTAATTCATTCATTAATGAATATACCTAATTCATTCATTAACCCATACTACTCACTGACAGTGCATTTTAGTGGGTGTGAGACCTATCGACCTGTAGGGTTTGTGCTCTAATGGAAAGAATATCTGAAGACCAAAGACTTGGGTTCTTGCCCCAATTTTGACACCGTGTGACCCTGGGCAAGTCATAACCTCACTGGGTCCCAGTTTCCCAACTATAAGATAAAGCTGACTAATTCCTTTTAAGGTTGAATATTCTATAATTTTCAACTAGTTATATTCTAAGATGGTAATGAATACAGGCAGTGTGGTACCATGGAAAGAAAGCACTGAATTTGCAGTCAGAGGGTCTGGGTTCAGATCTGAACTTTGTTTCTCACTACCTGTGTGACCTTTGGTAAGTCATGTAAACTCTCTGGATCTCTGTCTCCACATTTATAAGTGAGGGAGTTGAACTAGGGATTAGGGTCCCTTTTAGGTCTAAATCTGTGATGCTATAATTCTATGAGATTGAATCAATAACCAAGATGACTTGAAGTCTTGGACCAGTGTGGTTTTGTGAAGAGACCAGAGTTACTAGTCATGTGATCATGGGCAAGTCTCCAGAGTCTTCTGAAGCTCAGTTTTCTCACCTGTGAAGTGGGGCTAATAATGGTATTACCTACTTCACAGAGTTATTGTGAAGATAAAATAATGGATATAAAGTACTTTATAAACCAAGTCTATCTTCAAAATACTATGTCACACAAACAAAAAATTGGGCCAACTATGAGTATCACATATTCAGAAGTGGTAATGTATACACAAATAGGCAAGTAATGTCTATGAATCCAAGTTATTGTCATTCCCATGTCTAAAATAACTTTCTCAAAGGGTTGAAAAGTCATTATTAATATTGTTCATATATTTTAAAATGTCCCTTTTATATAACATGGCTTAAGAATCAGAGTCACAGGGCTTGGCATTGGTCCCCACTACTCAATAGAGATTGAACATTTCTTAAGCACCTACTTTGTACCAGGTACTGTGCTAAGCATTTTTATAAATATTGTCCCATTTGATCTTCACAACAACCTTGCAAGGTAGGTGCTCTTTTTGTCCCCATTTTACAGTTGAGGAAACTGAGGCAGACTGCAGTTAAGTGGACGAGGCTAGATTTGAACTCAGGTCTTCTTGACTCTAGGCATTACTTAGCTGGTTAATAGGTGACCCTGCCTAAGGTTGCAGGATCCCTTTTTGCTAGGAGAGGCCCCTGGGATAATTAGTTAAGAACCCCTGCAGGATGGACAAGGGAAGCTAGAGATATTTGTCAGTACATATCCCGTCCCGTCCCTCCCAGGGAAGCATATAGGCTGCTGCAAGACTTAAGAGTGAGAGGGTCATTTGCACAGAACGGGCTGTTATAGCAGTAAAAAAACCAACAACAACTGTAAGCATACATCTTCATCAACTGGAAGTGCCTTCCACTGGGGAGGAGACTGTGAGTCTCTGGCCTGTCTTTGCTGCCTCATCAATCACATCTCTCCTCCTCCACAGAAATGAGTTAGCCTTTGCTGCTATGGCTCAAACTTGTAGTTAAGAAACCCCCTGTGACTATTTACGTGTGGCTTGGCCTGCCTGCTTCCATGTTTGCAACTTCCTTATCCGTTCCTGGCTTTAGGTCTAGCAGGGATCCTGTGAAAGGGGCCCATAAAAAAAGCTGGAAGTCCTAGCAGGAAGATAGGCTTTGTAGGCTTTGGAATTGGGCAAGATTTGCTCCTGCAACAACGAAGCTGTGGTCTACTTGTGAGGCAGGGTGACATGGGGGAAACTACACTGAAGTAGAAAAAGTAGGATTTAAAGAAAGGGGGAGTTTAGGGAAGGACTGGAAAAGGTTCTTGTGTGATGGAAGCAGGTGACTTCTGTCCCAGCTGGTACTTAAGGAAAGTACTGGAGTTTTTAACTGAAGCCACTACAATTTTCTCCATGGACAGAGATGCCCTCTAAGATCCATGGCTTCACAAAAATCACTGAAGGAAAAAAATCAAAGTTGGAAAGGACCTTACTGGTCATCTAGCTCTTTACTGTTGTCCAATCGGTTTAGTCGTATCCCACTCTTCACGACTCTTTCCTGGGTTTTCTTGGCAGAGATACTGGGAGTGGTTTGCCATTTCCTTTTCCAGCTCATTTTACAGATGAGGAAACTGAGGCAAACAAGGTATAATGACTTGCCCAGGGTCACACAGCTAGTAAGTTTCTGATTCCAAGCCCAGCACTCTATCCACTGGGTCACCTAGCTACCCCCTCGTCTAGCCCTACCCAGAGATGAAAGGAAATCCCACTATATTAATGGAATGCTTGTCTAGCTTCTGCTAGGTTAGGATCTTCTAGGATGAACTGCATAGGGGACTATTTCACCTTGAATATGCTATGGCAATCCTCCCTCTGTCCCAGGTTAGAAGAGTTATAGAAAGAGGCTATTACTGAGATTTTCTCAATGGTCCTGAAGGAAATAATTTATTGCATTGGTGGAGAAAAATTATCTGCAGCTAAAGTGACCACGAAGTCACTGTCAAGAACGTCCCTAACTCAACCTGGATTGGAGTCTTTATTTATAAGCAGCCTGCTAGATGACTTGAAAAAGGTAATGAAAACAAGTGACCTCACAGGGTCTGTGAGCTGACTGCGCAGATTTCCTGTGTCACTAGAATCCTTAAAATGGCGTACCAATGGTTAGTAATGAGTGGTAACCCAGCTCACTAGAGAGTTGACTAGTGACTGATATGTGATAGTTATAGCCACCTGTATGGAAATGGTGACATCACTGGTAGATGCTTATCATGGACAATACCTTTCCCAAGAAGGAGGAGCTAATCAAAGTTCTCTTTTCTCCTTTTTTTTTTAATTTTTGGAGGCAATTGGGGTTGAGTGACTTGCCCAGTGTCCCATAGCTAGTAGGTATCTGAGGCTGGATTTGAATTCAGGTCCTCCTGACTCCGGGACCAGTATTCTATTCACCGCTCCACCTCGCTGCTGCCTCCCTTAAATTTCTAACACTATGTCTTGAAGGTCTAAGAACTTCAAGGGTGGGAGATGGATGCAGACCTCCCAGAGCAGCCCACCTTTGGATAACTCTCATTGTTAGAAAGTTTTTTCCTAGGAGGCAGCTGGTGGTGTAGCACCAGGCCTGAAGCCAGGAAGACCTGAGTTCAAAGCCAGTCCCTGACTCTTATTAGCTGTGTGACCCTGGACAGGTCATGTGACCTTTGTTTGCCCCAGTTTCCTCAACTATAAAATGGGGATAATAGTACCTACTGCACAGGGTTGTTGTGAAGATCAAATAAGAGAATATTTGTAAAAGAAAACATTTATCCCCTTCCCTTCTTCTGACATTAGGCCCACATTTGTTTCTTTGTAAATTTCACCCAGTAACTCCTGGTTCTGCCCTTGGGTACAGACAGAACAAATCTAATCCATCTTCCCCTTGAGGGTCCTTGAAGTACCCAAAGACAGTTGTCAGCCCACACTCCCCTCTCCCCTTAGTCTTCTCTTTTCAAGGCTAAAAAACCCCCAGTTTCTTCAACTACTCCTCCTCTGGCAGACTCAAGGCCCTTCGGCATTCTGGATGCCCTCCTCTGGACACTGTAGCTTATCAATGTCCTTCTTATCTGGCGGTGGCCAGAACTGAAAGTGATGCTTTGTATGACGTCTGATAAGGGCAGAGTCAAGAGGATAAGCATTTCCCTATTCCTAGAAGCTATGCCCTTCTTAAGATAGCCCGAGTGCATTGTTTTCATGGCTGCCCTATCACACTACTACTGACTCCCCACCAAACCCATAGATTTCTTTCAAAACCACTGTGGCATGACCATGTGTCCGTGTCTCTGCACCGTACTTGTGAAGGTGATTTTCAAACTAGAAGATCCCAGAGCTGAAAAACACCATAGAAACACAGTGACTTAATTTACTTAGGACAGCGCTCCGTCCAGACTTTTTTGCCTAATACCGCTAGAGGATGGTCTCAACAAAGACCACAGAAAATACGAGGCAGGCTTGCCCAGCTAGAGGGAAGAACTGACCAGCTTTTCCAGCTCGATAATCTTCTTTTCCTGTTGGTGAATCTGCTGATTCTTCATCTCTAGGACTTGCTTCAGACTGTTCATGTCTTCTTCCAAGTGCTGGTAGGGAGCTAGTGCAACCTATAGAAGCCAGGAACAAAAGCAATGATACTGTTATGGTTCTTAGAAAGGTGGGTCAACATCATGGATCCAGCAAATCCTAGACCTCCATGGTAAGGCTTCCCACAGGGACTAGGTAGGGACTGGACTTGTGATTTCACTGGGGGAGGGAATTCCTGAGTGAAGAAACTGCCTCCACCAGGATGGGTTGTCAGCTTTCCTTTAGCTCAGAATTCTAGAGATGGCCTAGAGCAGTGGTGTCAAACTCAAATAGACATGACAGCCACTAATCCATACATAAGGATCCCTGTGGCCTGAATAGTAGTTTTAAAAAGGAATGGTATGGGGGCAGTGGATAAAGCACGGGCCCTGGAGTCAGGAGGACCTGAGTTCAAATCTGGCCTCAGACACTTGACACTAGCTATGTGACCCTGGGAAAGTCACTTAACCCCAACTGCCTCAAAAAAAAAAAAAGAATGGTATCTTCATTTTATTGTATTTTTATTCTGTTAAATATTTCATAATTGAATTTTAATATGGTTCCTGGAGCACTGCTGACCAATCTGTTGGACTCTTCTGGCCTAAAGGTTAAGTGACTTGCCCAGGGTCGCACAGCCAGTATGTATCGGAGATGGGACTTGAACCCAGGTATTCCTGGCTACGAGGTCAGCTCTGCATTAACTAAGCTACTTCAGCATATCCGTGTGGGCACAGAGACACAGAAGACGTGAAGTATGCATTCCTGAACTCTCCCCTTTGGAAAGTCTTAAGGCAAATGCCTATTGCTCTGCTGGAAACAAGACAAAGGGTCACAGGACCATAGATATGGAATTGGTAGGAACCACAGAGGCAAACAAATCCAACTACCTCCTTTCACAGATGAGGACGCTGAGGCCTAGAGAAATTAGGTGACTTGCCAATGGTCATCCAGCCAGTAAGTATCAGAGATGGGATTTGAACTCAGATCTTCACCATGTTGCCTCTCAAGCAACCGTATGGCTAACGGAAATTACTTCGTAAATTCATTCCTTCATTCATCCACCCAACAAGCATTTATCGAATGCCTACTATGTGCTCAGCACTGGGCGGCACAAAGATGGGCATGAAGGAATCCCTACCCTTTTTTACCCTACCCTTATATTATATTATGGGGGGCACAAAATATACATAGAAAAGTAAGGAACAGGGACCAGATCTTCCATTTCATTGGTCTGGACAAACTCCCAGGTGAGAAAAGTCTATGCACTTTTTTCGCTGGCACCTTCTCTGAGACTTATTGGCTCAGAGCACTGCCTGGAGCAGTGGTGTCAAACTCAGATAGAAATGGGGGCCACCAATCTGCACATCAGGAGACATGATGCTCCATAATGGCTCAGTTTTAAAATGCAACGCTACTTAGGTTTTGTTGTGTCTTTATTTTTTTGTTAGTTTCCAATTACATTTTCATCCAGTTCTGCCATTTTCAGGAGTGTTGCTCGGGGTGTTAGCCACCTTTGGCCTACAGCACAGGGAAGCTAGCTATCTGTCCAGCACCATGGAGCCAGGAAGGCCTGCAACCCAGACCTTCTTTGTTTTGAGGCCTTCTCTCTACCCATGCTGCCCTTCCCAGGCAAGTAAACATGAAGTAATTTCTGGTGTGGGGGCAGGGAGAGCACTAGTAACCAGGGAGGAAATGTTTTAGTTTTATAAATGACTTACAAGATTCAAGAAGCAACTCTTTTGAAACAGAGCGTGTAGATAATGTGACTTAAGCAACTATTGTGGCTTCTTCAGTAGCTAATCTTTTCCTCAGCACAGAAGTTGCTTGTCTTGTCTTGCTGGGCATGACTGATAGCCACTGCCTTAAGCTCTATTTATGTGAAAGGATGCTTTTTAAGGGACAGTTACCTGTCAGCATCCTTTGTCTCTTGTTGTCAGAAATGTGATCTAATTCTATTGTTCTCCTTCCCACGCTCCAGATTCTGGGCAGACTGATCTGATTCCTGCTGCTCCCTCTAAACCACGTCCCATCTTCTATCTCTGTGTTTTTACACAATCTATACGCTTTCTTTTTTAAATTTAATTTTTTCAAAACAATTCTGAACTTGACATCAAATACAGTGAACATTTCTTTATGCAAAGTAGAATGGGGAAAGAGGACTGTGCAGGAAGCTTCATCCCATAAGCCCCCACATGTCTTTGAAGCCTAGCTCGAATGCTGCCTCTCCCGACCTCATCCGCTGCTTGTTGCCTTCCACCCTGGGCATTTCTCCTGATCTCTTGCCTACTGAGGGCACCACCACCTTTCAAATCACCCAGATTCCCAACCTCAGCATCATTCTCAACTCTTCCTCCCATCCAGCCAGTTATCAGGTCTCGAAGAATCCACAGCATCCTTGCATTCCTCCATCCTTCTCTCTGCTCAAACAGCCAACATCTTGCTTCAGGCCCTCATCCCCTTTCACGGAGACTGTCATAACAGCTTCCCAGCTGCCTTCCCTCCCTTACATTGCTCCCCTCTACAACCCATCCTTCACACAGCTGCCCAAGCCATGTTCTGAAAGCACAGGTCTATGCCACTCCCTTTTTCAAGGATCTCCTGTGGCTCCCTATTACCTCTAGGACAAACTTCAGGTCAAAATACAAACTCTACTGTAGGGCATTTAAAGGCCTTCCCAACTGGGCTCCCACCTACTTTTCTAGGCTGAACATACATCACTCTCCTTCATACACTCTATGATTCAGCCAAACTGGCCTTCTTGTTGCTGCTCCTATGTGACTTTTCATCTCCCATCTCCAGGCCTTTGCACAGACTTTCCCTTATGCCTGGAATGCATTCACTCCTCACATCTCTGCCTAGGAGTCTCTAGCTTCCTTCAAAGCTCAGCTCAAACGAGACTTCCTCCATGTGATTTTTCCTAACTCTGACAGCCTCCTTTTCTACCCTTTCCCCCATTAGCTTGTACTTTGAACATACTTTGCATATTTAGGGCCCAGTGATTCCCCACCCCTATTCAAGGTAAATTCCTGGAGTCTTTCCTTTGGACATCACCTTGCATTTTATCTGCACTTATCTTATTAAGAGCATAGTTGTTTGCATGCTGTTTTCGCCACTGGAAAACGAGTTACTCAAGGGCAGGGATCTGGGATCTCTGGGGATCAGGGATTTTTGTATTTCTTTGTACCCTGAGCCTTAGCACAGCATCAGGCACACAATAAGAGCTTAAAAATGCTTATTAGCTGACTGACTTGAGAGCAAAGGCACTTCATTCTGGTATTTGTATCCCCAGTGCCCAACCCAGTGTCTTGTACACAGCAGGTATTTAAGAAATGCCTGATGATGGATTGCATTGTAAATATTTTGCATACTTTTTTGTTTACTTATTTCGTCTGTCTAAAAGAATGCAAAACACATATAACCCATATCAAATCATTTTTCCACTTTAGGGAGTGGGGAAGAGAGGGAGGGAGGGAGGGAGAAAAATTTGAAATTCAAAAAATTTAAAAACATGAATGTAAAAAATTGTCTTTATGTGTAATAGGAAAACAAATACTATTAAAAATTTTTAAAATTTTTTAAACCCTCCTATTTATCTCTGTATCCCCAGCACCTGGTACAATCCCTGGCTCATAGAAGGCACTCAATAAATGCTTGTCAAATGAATGCATGACCCTACAAAGAAAAATTCAGAGATCATCCCAAACAGGAGATGTTCAGTCTGCCTCCCTGCCAATGAACAGAACACACACACACACCGTGAATGCTTTTAATGCTCAATCAGCACACAGCAGCACACATCATCATACAGGTGCTACCTGACGAAGATGAAGAAACTATGATTATGAAATTAGACAGTAACAAAGAGAGAAAGTTTCAAGAAAAACAGGCATTTTAAAAAATGGAATGCAAGAACATTTTCCTGATTTCCTAACAAGGTGGCCCCAAACTTACCTGCGTTTGCCAAGCGTGGCTTCCTTGAACCAGCCTCAGCCAGAAGTGGGTGGAGAGGGGCATGGGGGGAAGGGGGGCAGGACACACCCAGGCGATGGGGGATATGCACAAGCAGAGCCCTAGACACTCTCCTGACTGTCACAGAAGCTTAATGGCATGGGATGAGTAGGTGGGTGAATTGTGGCAAGGCTGACTCAGAGACAGAGACATAGCTGATAAGCATCGCTGAGGACAGGGCTACCTAAGTTCAGAGAACTGGCTGGCGCTTTTACCAGGAATGAACTCATTCTTTTTCTTTAGTGAAAATAGAGGCTCTGGGGTGTGGTCACAGAAGATGGGAGACAGGGCCAGCCTGGGGGAAGAGGAATGGAATTGGCCCTTCCCTTGCCCATGGGGGCCTCCACGAAGGTGTGGGCACTGGAAGGCCGCTGATTACCTCCAGTTGCTCCTCGGTGCTTCTTCTCAAAGCCTCCTCGAATCGTTTCGCCCGGTCCCGCAGAGAATGGCTCTGAAACGTGAGGGTGTCAACCTGGTCCTGCAATGAGCAAGGGAGAAGAGGCGGGGAGAGATCAGCTGGGACTTGGGGGACCGGACCATGGGGGCCAAAGACAGCACAGTGGAGGTGGCTCGTTAGAGATGTCACTGGTGGGTCTTCTGGTAACAAATGATACCATGGGTATGTGTGCTTTACCTAACATGGAATCATTTTTTTGTGAGAAGAGCGTTTTGTGGTCAGTGAATGCTATATATCACACAAACTTTTATCCTGAGGCAGTGTGGTCAATTCTGAGAGGTGGAGACAATAAAGGGCTGGGCTTGGAGTCAAGAAGATCTGGCACAAGCCGAGAGACCCTGTGCAAGTCAATTAGCCAGTATGAGCCTCAGTTCCCTCATCTGAAACTAGGCAGCATTGTGGATAGAGTTCTGGTCTTGGCCTCACAGATCAAGTGCTAGAAGGGACTGCAGAGGTCATACAGTCCAATTTCCTCATTTTATCTAGGAGGAAAGCGAGACTTTAAGTGATTTGCCCAAGATAGTAAGGGTCAAAAGTAGGATTTGAACCAAGGTCATTCAATTCTAGAGCCAGAGCTCTTACTATGCTGCCTCAAGAAGATCTGGGTTCAGATCCTACCCTATGTGATTCTGGGCAATATGCTTAGCTTTTCTCAGCTTCAGTTTTCTCATCTGTAAAATGGGACAACAGTGCCTCCCTTACAGGGTTGCTATATCAAATAAGATCATCTAGGCAAAGCGCTTTATAAACTTTATAGAAATGTGAGCCTTCAGCATGATTATTATTCATATTACAAAAACAGAGTCCAAAAAAAGGATGTCTGTCTGTCTCTTTCCTGACCTTTTCCAAGGGTTAAAGATAGAATCTATGAGAATTCTTCCTCCCCAACCAGAGGTATCCAATCTGAGAAGCTGTCTACTACAGTGCCATGTACCCAAGGACTACAATAAACATTTACAGGCGATGAAAATCGCCTTTCATGGGGCCAAGTACAACCTCCCTGACTCAGCAGTGTCCTATTTCTCTAACCTGGCAGCAGAGGGCACCAGTAGCCTGGAGTCTGAGGGAGCACCCAGCTTTTTTCCGGCACTGGTGGCTGTGGTCTCCACCTCTGCAGGCAGCATCACAGAAGGAGACACCTTGCACACACAGTCTGTCCACGTGCCCGCTGTGAGGTGGGGCTGTCTCAGACCGATCCAAGAACTCACCCTCGTTTTAAAGCCCTTCAGAAAGGGAGATGTGAGAGCCTTGTTTGGTGACTCATTCCCCTGTGGGGCAACCTTCACCATCTGGGGAGATTCATGCCCAGATCTCCTGGTGAGTACAGGATTGCTGTAATAATAACTAGAATAACAATGGCAACCATAACAAAAACGACAATTATAAATAGCTCACATTCAGACAGCAATTTAAGGCTCGGCAAAACCACAGACATTCTCTCCCGTAACCCTCACAACATCTCAGGGAGCTGGCTAGCCACTGTTATTTTTGACACAGAAGAAACTGAGGCTCAGTGGATTTCCTAGACTCACAGCAAATAAGCACGTGAAGAAAAATTTCAATCCTGACTGGTCCCGTGTGCTCTCTACCATCCTGGGCCACCTTAGAATACAAATAGTCCGTGGTGACACTGAACTTCACTGTTCACAAGACCTTTTTCCTCCCAACAGCCCTGTAAAGTAGGGAGCACAAGTGTCCTCATTCCCATTTTACAGACCAGCAAACTGAAACTCACAGCAGTGAACTTTGTTGTCTGAGGCCCAGGGTTGATACCGACTGTTGGGACCTGGATTCAAAGCCAGATTGTCTACTTCCAAGGTCAGTTCTCTTCCTGAGATGTCACAATACTGACGATTAGGGGTCTAGAGCTGGAAAGAACCTCAGAAGCCATCTAGGCCATTGTATAGATGGTGAAACTGAGGATCAGGAAGGCTGTCGTTGTTCAGCTGTTTCAGTTGTGACTGGCGCTTTGTGACCCCATTTGGGTTTTCTTGGCAGAGATACTGGAGTGTTTTGCCGTTTACTTCTCCAGCTCATTTTACAGATGAGGAAACTGAGGCCAACAGGGTTAAGTGACTTGCCCAGGGTCATATAGCTGGCAAGTATCTGAAGCCGGATTTGAACTCAAGTCTTCCTGACTCCAGGTACTGCCAGGAATGGTACTCTATCCACTATGCCACTGGAAGATTAAGTATACTTAACTATAGCTTGAAGTGAGGAGGAAAAGGAACAGGGAATATTCAGGTGAAAATTACTCCCCACTTTCCCCAGGCTTTCAGGGGAACTGCAGGAAACCTGAAATACACTCCCCCACCCTCCACCTCATGCTTAGCCCTACAGCACCTTGGAAAGAGGAAACAGTTGAGATGGTTTCCCCCTTCTCCAGGGGTGAGGAACCTGTGGCCTCAAGGCCACATGTGGCCCTCTAGGTCCTCAAGTGTGGCCCTTTGTCTGAATCCAAAGTCAAAGGGCCTCACCTGAGGACCTAGAGGGCCACATGTGGCCTTGAGGCCGGCGGGTTCCCCATCCCCGGGCCCCAGCTATTCACTTAAAAACTTGTGCTCAGCCTAACCACCCCGTTACAGGGCTTTAAAAATAAAGGGACAGAGGTGTTCCCATTGTTCTCTTGGCACCACTGATAAGCTGAGAGAGGGTCTTGCTGTACAGAACACTGGAGATCCTGAGTCTAAAAACTCTGCCTGTTTCAGGTTTATCTCTGCTCTTGCTTGAGATCGGCAGCTGAGCAGGGTGCGACGACCTTCCTTGTCGGTGCCAAATGCCCTCTAGGCCCAGAAAGATGAGACACCCAATAAGAAGAGCAACCTGCCCCACAGACACGCTGTGCCTTCTTTTCTTCTTTCCTTCCATTAATTCCATTTCATTTTCCACAATAAAAGTCCCACAAGGATATTCAGTGCAAATGCAAACATATTAGGGCAATATTATTGTCAATAGGATTTTACTGCACACCTGAACTGGGAAATGTAAATCAAGGCCCACGGCAACTATGACTGGCCCCCCAGCGCATGCAAATTATCATGCTGCTACCTCCTCAAATATGACTCTAAAACTGCCTGTTCTGTCCAGTGGCTCCAGCATTGAACTTACTCAGGGTAGACAAAGGAAGAGCATTTTACCCCCAAAGGCTCATCCCACACTTCATCTGAGACATTAGGACGGGATCTTTCTGCCTAGTCCCCCATTTTCTAGCCCGCATCTGAGAAGTTGCCAAAAATTAGTAAGATAGAATGGCCTCCAGGGCTCCTCTACAGGGGTCTTCTGAGCCAATGAAGCAGACAAGTGTGTGAACTTGCCCATTCAGTTACCAGGTTACCCCAGGCCTCTTTACTCCATGGGTAGGGGGAGGCTATGGTCCTTGCTCCTACTCTCAGGGTCTGCTTGATGAGAGTGAAGGAGAGCACATAAAGTATCTTATCAAAACTTGTTATCTTTCTTATCACCAATGGTGGTGTCCTACACACAGTAGGTATTTAATAAGTGGTTGCTGAATTTCACAACAAATAATCTCCAATTTTGAGAGGTCAATTTAGATGAAGCCCAACTTTGACAGATTTTTAAATTAAAACACAGGCAATTCCCAATTTTTTTTCCCCTAATTGTAGAAGTTGGGTGCCATAGACAATGCAAAATAATTTCTACTTGTGTTTTGATGTGCTGGTTAGTTGTTTTTCAGACAACAGATCCATCTTCCTAATTAAAGTCTGACTCGAGCTAATATTCAAATTAGTCTGTGTTCCCTGAGAACAAACACTGACCAGAGGAGTGTTAGATGGGGAAGGAGTGGGGAGCAGTCGGGGATTAATTCATTCTTCCAAGATAATCTACAAATTGGACACTTCACTGGAGAGACACATTACGGAATCGGAAGGTGAATCAGCAGGCAATTTGCTGGAGCAGTTTCTCATTTTAGGATTTGTCAGTATCAGTGTATCTGATGGCGGATGATGCTGTGTTTCCATGATCCAGCATTTATCTCTGCCCAGGACAGCCAACATAATTTTTTTTTTCATCAATGAAAATCAACAAAGGAAAATAAGCTACTTATTTCCTAATACTAACTTTATGATAATAGCTGTGATTTATAGTGCAGTGAAGCTTTGCAATTTAATTTGCACACATTTATTTTGTAGGATCTTTATAACAGCTAGGTGAGGTGGGTGCTTCAGGTGGTATTTCCATTTTACAGATGAGGAAACTGAGGCTCAGATAAGTTAAGTGACTTGCAAGTCTGCCAGGAGACAGGATCTGAACTCTGGCAAAGTGTAACATCAATTGGTTCTTGAGTCAAAGGACCTAGGTTCAAATCCTACCCCTGATGCTAAATATTTATGTGACCTCAGGCAAGTCCCACCTCATCTGAAAAATGAGGGGCTGAGAAGAGGTGGTCCCTTCCAGCTCTTGACCTCTGATCCTATGAGGCCAGGTCTCTTTTGACTCTAAGGTTATTAGCATTCTTTCTACCACACCACATTCATGTGAAGAAAAAGGAGAAAATGCTATCTATGTATACAATTCTAAGACTTGGGTGCACCTTTTTGGGGGGGGAGGGGAGAGAAGATGGAGTCCTAATTTCATTATGTAGGGGATTTCTGAATTTGATATGACCTCCACTGATGCAGATCAGAAACTTAAGAATCACAGAAAGTTTATTGGGGCCTAGAGAGGCTGAGTGATTTGTCTACAGTCACACACGACATGTTCTGACTCAGCTTCTCACACTTAAAAATAGTAATAATAACAATAACGTTAGCGAACTCTTATATAGACCCTTTATGTGCCGGGGCCTAGAGTCAGGAAGACTCATCTTCCTGAGTTTAAATCCAGCCTCAGACACTTAATAGCTGTGTGACCCTGTTTGCCTCAGTTTCCTCATCTATAAAATGAGCTGGAGAAGGAAATGGCAAACCACTCTACTTTCTACCAAGAAAACTCCAAAGGGGGTCACAAAGAGTTGGACACGACGGAAATGACTGAACAACAATAAAACTATGTGCCAGGAACTGTGCTAAGCACTTTACAAATATCATCTCATTTGATGCTCACAATAACCTTGTGAGGTCTAGATGCTGTTTATTATCTCTGTTTTGCAGATGAGAAAACTGAGGGACAGAGATTAAGTGACTTGCTCAGGGCCACACAGCTAGTAAGTATCAGAGGCTAAATTCGAATTCAGGTCTTCCTGACTCCAGGCATGATGCTCTTTCCAGCTGTCCCCTGGCTGTCCCACTTAGTAACAAAAAAGGGGACACCACCCCAACCAGAGTTCCACCGACGGCTGACTCAGGATTGAGGCACAGTACTCTCCACAGTACTCATTTAGGATATGCACTGAGCCTATGTCTCTGGAAGGCAGGGGACTGGAACAGCATGTGGCTACGGAACCCTGCTTCTTCCCTCCAGGGGCAAATCAGGCAGCATTGTTGAGTATTTCAGCACAGCATCAGAGGACTTCAAGCTGGAAGAGGCCTTGGAGAACAACTGGTCCGACTAATACTCCTTTTTTAGTGAATAAAGACATGCTTTTCCCGTTGGACCCTAGGACATGGCCCTTTGGCCCCTGGGAGGGGGGCAGAGCTGAAGACTCAGGGCCTCTTCTGCCTCTTTCCCCTTCCATTTCTTTGCTATAATAAAGTATGCTTTTTGCTTAACCGTCACAGCTGGCCTTATACAATGCAGCCTAAAAGAATCATTCTATTAAACAGCTCACAACTGAGCTCTCCTTCTTTGCTGAGCACACAGGAGAGGTGCGGGAAATAACAGGAAAAGCAACTATCTGGGCCAGAAAGGGAGGATGGCCTTGGCCGACTCTCTTGGTCTCAGCAGGGCTAGGCGTCAGGAGGCAGCGGTCGTTCTGAGCTGCTGCTGACTCAGTGAGTAGCTATGAGCCATGAGGGGAGTATATTTTCTGATATCTTCAAACTGCAAACACCTATGGCAGGGGCCAACAGGGAATAAGAAGCCTGCTAGAGTTAATGAAGCAAAACTGTAACCCTCTTAAATGGTTCTCAACAGCAAAACTCTCTTCTTATTTGCTGTGTGATACTCTCTGTTTTTCTCCCACCTCTCTGACTGTCTCTACTCTGTCCCCTTCTACTCTGTCTCCTCCTCCTTCTTCCCACCAGCTAAGTGTGGCATTCTTAAAGTTCTGTCCGCAGCCCTCTTGCATTTTCTTTCTCGAACTTGTCTCCCTTGGCTCTGGGTGATCTTGTCTATTCCCACAGTTCCAGTAATCACCTCTAGACTACTAGCTCCCTCATCTCTATCTCTAGCACCATCTTTCCCACTGCCAACTAGACGTTTTGTCAGATCATAGAATTTCACAGGTGGAGCAACCTCAGTGGTCAGCTAGTACAACAAGCATACCCAAAGAAGTCTACGTTCAACATACCTGGCAAGTGGCCAGCCAGTTCTTTGCTGGAAGATAACCAGCAATGGGGAAACTCTACCTCCTGAGAAGTCCAGTCCATTTAAAAACGTTGTATTATACACTTCAAACTCACCCCATCTAAAACCAAACACATCTCGGCCACTAAGCTGGCTCCCTCTCCATATCTCCCTATGTCTAGCATGCTCCAGTCACTCGGGCTTAAAACTTCTGGTTCATCATTGACTCTTTTCTTTCCTTCTCCTTCAATATCCACTTAATCATTAGTTCATACCGACCTTTTCTTTCTTTAGGATTACTAATCTAGAACTAGATGGGTCATTACAGGCAATACAGTTTAACCCAGATGTGGGGAACCTGTGGCCTTGAGGCTACACGTGGCCCTCTAGGTCTTCAAGTACCGCCCTTTGACTGAGTCCAAGTTTTATGGAACAAATCCTTTTATTAAGGGGATTTGTTCTGTGAAGTCTGGATTCAGTCGGAGGACCGCACTTCAAGACCTAATGGGCCACAGGTTCCCCACCCCTGGTTTAACGGCTTCATTTTATAGATGAAGAAATTGAGGCCCAGGTCCACAAAATGAGGTCTACTGCCAGTAGGTAAGCAGAGTCTGGATTCGAACTCAAGTATTTTGATTCTAAACCCTTTACCACTGCCATCATCTGGGCCAGTTTCTAATCAATTCAGGACTAGGGCAGTAATTGCCTAGTTAATTCTCTGCTTCCGGTCTCCCCTGTCCAGCCCATTCTACACTATATAGTGCTGACAGATTAATCTTACAGAAATACCCATTTTTGTCCTTCTATACAGTTGATGACTCCTCATTGCCCATAGAATAAAGCTGACATTTTTTACCTTATCATTTGGGGTCTTTCACAGTTGCACTCCTACTTATCCCTCTAACTTAATCTGGCCACACTCTCCCTCTTCTATCATTTCCACAGACAACTCCAAATTGTTCACTATTCTCATCATGCCTTAAACTCTTCTTAAGCACTTTCACGTTCAGAAATCATGTCTTCCTCTGAATGACCCTAACACGTACTGCTTATTCTACAACACTTAGCATTTAGCATATGTTATATTTGATCCCATGCGTCTAACACCCATTCTATTTTCCTAAGTAGGATACGAGTTCCTTGAAGGGAAAGGGCTTATGTCTCTTTGTATCTTCTTTGCCTAGCACAGTGCCCTATATCCTGTGGATGCTCACTAAATGTTTGATGATGGTAATGATGCTGACACTTCCCCAGCTGCAGGAAGTAGATAATGAAAGTATTAACCTGGAGCGACAACCGCAGTTTTTCAAAACTGTCTTCCAATTCCTTCTTTTCAAGCTCATGGGCAGACATCAGTTCTAGGAAGAAGAATAAAACACATTGTTAAATTGGTCTCCTGCCCAATATTGATAGAAACCATAGGAGTAAGGGTAGCTTCTTCCTCACTCAGGTGAGGACACCAGTGACTATGCAAATGAGTCTGGTATTCATGAGAATTAGGGCACTGAGTGCCTGGCTCAGGGCACAGGGTCACAACATTGGAAGGGACCATTATACAGGTGAGGAAACAAAGGTCAGAAATTTGCCCAAAGTCACAAGGATAGGTAGAGGTCAACTGACTTGTACAAAGTCCCAATGGCAGAACAGGGATTCAAATCCAGGACCACTGATTAAAAAACTTTCCACTGTGCCTTGCTGTCTCCATTTTCATAACTCTACATATCATTACTGTGTTGTGACTTGCCTTTGCAATGCCGTTCCCTTCAACAAGAGATGATCTGACAGCTGTCCTCTGAAGGAAGAGAAGCAAATCTTCAGCATTCACTGTCATAGAGCTGACCCAGTTCTCAAGTCTTTCCTTACAATGGACCAGTTACATGGCTTAGCTTTTCTTCCCCAATTTCTAATTCCCTTTTTCTTCCTGAGTTAGAATAACTCCAAAGAGTGACTCTTCTCAAAATACTGAAAGACATCAGCACTCTGATCATTGCAGTGATCGTTCTTGACTTCAGAGGACCAGCAGTAAAGCACACCTCCCTCCCCTTAGTAGAGAGGTGGTGGATTTTAAGTGCAGAATCAGGCATATGTTATCAGATATGGCCAATATATTGGCTCGCTAAACTACTTCTTTGTTACAAAGGAAAGTTCTAGAGGTTGTTATTGGTTGATGGGTGGGATAATGATCTCATTTATTAAAGAACAAAAGAAAAAAAATCCTCCAATTCAGGAAAATAGATTGTTCTAAGGTCAGAGAGGCTGCCAGAAAACAGAGGGATGGATAGGACCACAAAGTATGTCATCACCTGACTCAAGTAAAGATTCAATTTTAAGATGCTTCCACCAGGAGAAAGGACCAGCTGAACCCTCTTTATCGTGTTTGGAACAATTGTTCTCAGTGGGCCAGTGTCAACACAGCAATAGGCAAAAAGTAATGTCATGTAAGTGTGATTAAGAAGATGGGGGGGCCATTTTCCTCCAGACAGGAAGAGTCTCATTAGTCAGGGTTAAGCCTTTCTCATTCTGACCACGCAAGCAATTTGTTTTCATGTTCTAACTGATGAGAGGAAAGCCCTCATTAATCAGTCCAGACCCTACGCTCAGAGCAGGCTACTGCCTAGGAGCAGCTATTAATTACATTTCTTCCTAGCATGGTCTGCAATTAGGAAGAACTCTGAGGTTTTACATGAATCCACACATTCTGACTAAAGCTGGAGGAGGTCCTATGTCCAGAAGAGAAGTCACAAAATGGACTGGAGAGTAGATTTACATTTGGGGAAAAAAATCATTTATCATCAGAGCTCTCCTCAGCATGTTTCACAGAAATCTCTTTCTTGTATTTGGAAACGGGCATTGAGAAGTATCATCAGCTCCCAAATGATGGATTGTGGCTAAAATCATACACGTTGACTCGACAACATATATAATTCAATAGCTTTGGACAGGGTGACAGAAGAAAGAACCTCCATTAGTCACAATGGAGCTGTTGGCCACATACTGGGACCCATTAACAAGGGCCATCCAAATGAAAATCCAGAAACAAATGAGCTGTGGTCAGGCTCACCACACTGTTCCAAATTTGTCTTTTCAGGAAACCACTTGATAACAAGACATTTTCAAATTAACTCAAAGCCCCTTCTGAAAAGAAAATTCCACGTCTACCCTTGAAAATCTTTAACCCAATACCAAATACTTGTGTCTTCTTCAGCGTCCTTCTGTGTTTGGGTGTTGTAGTGCACCACTTCACCACCTAACACAGTATTCAGACACACTGTTTCTGCCTCTTGGCAGCTGTCTTTCTACTCCACAGAGAGTAAGTCTAAAACAGAGACCTCCCTTCCTAGTGGTTTGGGAGGGAAGGAGGGCACTAGCAGCTGGGAGGACCAGGAAGGGCTTTATGCAGAAGATGTTACTTGAGCTGCATCTTAAAGGAGGTGAGGGATTCTAAGAGGTAGAGAAGACAGTACATTCCAAGCATGGAGATGGCCAGTAAAAAAACATGGCGATGTTATATGAAGTGCCGTGTATGCGAAACAGAGAGCACTGTCTGGCTAGGTCACTGAAATGGGAGGGGAAGCAATGTCCAATGGTGTTGAAATGATACGTTGGCTCTGAGTTGCATAGGGCTTAAAAGCTAAACATAAATGTGTATATTAACTTAGAGGCAAGAAGAAGACACTAGAATTGATTGAACTTGCATGATCATAGACAAGTTTAATAAAAACTACTTTAGCAGCAGTGTGTAGGACAGACTAGGGAGACCGTCTAGGAGGCTGTTGTGATAACAGAGGCGAGAGGTGATGAGCGTCTGAACTAAGGTAGTAACTGTATGAGTAGAGATTTGGGCTTGGGTAGGAGAGGTTATGATGATAGAAAGGGTAAGACTTGGCAACTGATTGGCTGAGGGACAACCAGAAGTTTAGGATAATCCTTAGGTTATAAACATGGGTGCCTTTGACAGAGATAGGGAACTTTGAAAGAGGAAAGGTTTGGATAGAAAGATGAGTTAAATTTTTAACATGTTGATTTTAAGGATAAAATATCTGATAGGCAATTGGTGATGTAGTGCTAAAGATGATCTGTAGAAAAATTATAGTTAAATCCATGGGAGAGGATGATGATGAAGATGATGATGATGAGAGAGAGAGGAAAGAGAGAGAGAGAGAGAGAGAGAGAGAGAGAGAGAGAGAGAGAGAGAGAGAGAGAGAGAGAGAGAGAGAGAGAGAGAGAGAGAGAGAGAGAGAGAGAGAGGCCTAGGATAGAACCTTGGAAACACCCACATTTAGGGGATATAATATGGCTGATAAGCCAGTCAGCAAAACAGACAGAAGAGTGGTCAGGCAGGTAGAATAACCAAGAGAGTTAAAACCCACAAAAACCCAGAAAGTAAAGTATCCAGGAGGAGTCAACCATTGCAAATGCAGGAGGCAGGTCAAGAAGGATTAGAACAGAGAGAAGACCATCAGATTTGACAATAAGGACATCTTTGGAGAAGGCAGTTTCAGTTGAGTGATGAACTCATTAAGTCAAATTGCAGAGTTGAGGAGTGAATGAGAGGAAATAGAGGCAACAAGTGAAAACAGCTTTTCCAAGGAATTTGGGTAAGAAAAGGAGAAGAGATATAAGGTAGTAATTTGAGGGGATGGCTGGATGTAGTGAAAGTATTTTAAGAATAGGGGAGACCTGGGCATGTTTGAAGGCAGTAAAGAAGTAACTAGTAGATGGGGAGAGGATGAAGATTACAGAGATGGGATATGGTTGGTGATGTGATCTACTAGAGAAGATAGGAGGGATGGGAGCAAGTGAACAGGTAGAGGGGTTGGTCTGGGAAGGATCATTTCTTTGTCAGAGACTGGGAGAAAGGGAGTGGAAGGATTTCTCAGTAAAGTAAGAGGCAAGGTCCTCAGCTGAGAGACAGTGAGGAATAGGAAGACAAGTTTTGAACTATCTCTTGAGGGGAATGAGATAAGGAATAAATTAAGAGGAGTAGAAAGACTTCCTTGTTGCAGTTAGGGCTCAGTTGAGGTTAGATAACATGAATTTGTAATGTACCAGTCACCATGGTTGTGAGATTTCCCTAAGTAGCATTCAGTGGCTCATGAAAAGAAATGGAGAAGGCAGATGGTGGAAGCAATCCACAGCTGTGTTTTGGTAGATGAGTGGTAATAAGACAAGAAGGCAAGGGATTTAAGATCAGAGGACAATGTAAAGTTGAAATGCCTAACAATTCGCATGAATCTGGTTAGGGAAAGTGAAGTCAGAACAGGGGTAATTACCTGAGAAAGTACTGAGGGGTGAAGGGCTTGGAGATCTTGATGAAGATAAAAAATAGTTTTTGGAAGTATGAGGCATATGGGGAGATGGAATGATAGGAGGTTATAGTCAAATAGGGGGAATATCACAGTTTCTAACTGAGAAATGGAAACCAAGTTGAGTCAAATGAATAAGTCTTTATTAAGCATTTACTTAAGTACTTATTAAGCATTTACAGGAACTATTCTAAATGCTAGGGATACAAATACAAGCAAAAAAAGAAAGCTAGTCTTTGTTTTAAAAGAGATTACATTCTAATGGAGGAGTTGAAAATGGGGAGAAAGAAGGATGACTGATTTGAAGCCCTTCCTCAAAAAGGAGGTTTCAGGGTGAACTCACCAGTCAAAGAAGAAGACTTGCAGTGGTGGAGGGAGAAGGCAGCTGAGGCATGGTGATGATAGGGCGCAGGGGTAGATCACTCGTGGGTAACGGTGAGATCCATGTGTGACCATCCCTATGGCTGAGGTGGAGTGAAGGAGTAGGTCACAGGATTTTGTAGGCTGAGGAACTGGGAACTGAGAGTTTGAGGGAACATTTTTAAACTACTATCTTCTCTATATCATCTTGGTAAATACCTTTGCTAATAGCAAATTAAGAGTACTACCTCATAATAAGCAGGGAGAATAATGCTAGGGTCTTAGTAAAGTACTAACTAGTAAAGTTAGTAAAGTACTAACCACAAAGAGATCAAAGAAAGAGGCAAATGAAATACACACACACACACACACACACACTATTTATAGCAGCTCCTTTCATAGTAATCTATAACTAGAAACTAAGGGGTTGCCCACAGGTTAAGGAATGGCAAACAGATTATGCTAAATGATGTAATGGAATATTATTGTGCCATTAGAAATGATAATATGGAGAGTTCCAGAAGAATCTTAACTCTATGAGCTAATATAGACTAAGCAGATGGCAACTCATTAGCTTTAAAAGATTTATCTCTCACTCTTGTTTCATAGAAGGTCCATCCACCTCTTTTTCTCATCCTTACTCTATGTTTATTTCCTCAATAATACCTCTTATGCCACTTCTTAGGCCTGGG